ATAGCTATCTAAGTATTAAGGACTAGCCTTACAGGCTACTGCGTGTAAGCATTACTAGTATTAACTATAAACTTAAGGAGAGAAAAGAGGGAAAGGAGAAGCTCTCTGCCCCTTCTTTTCTGCCTATTATTCCTATTATATACAACATAGGTCTAATGTGTATCTAAAGCGTACCTAACAAGGCACCGACACAGTGCCTTATACCTACTCGAGCCTACAGCTTGAGTCTATTACACTAAGGTATTTAATATATATAATATAGTTATATTTTATAATAATTTTCTACTTAATTAAAATTTATTTTACTTTATTTTTTACTTTATAGAGAATAAATCTCTTAAAGAAAATTTAACTAATTAAAATCTCTTATCCCCCTATTGCAGTAGTTAGGTTAGGTTAACTATAGTAGTCAGGTCAGCTTAGGTAGGCAAGCAATAGTCGGGTCATCTACACTCTCCTCCCAGTGCCCGCTCAACGTTGCATCGTGTTTTGCATAGAATAAACAGGGAAGAAACAAAACAACAAAATGAAAATAACGGTAAGATTGGCTGCGGAGCCGCCAATTCAAGTCTGGACCGACTCGAATTGCCTGGGGAAGTTTCTCGAGGGCATGCGCATGACCTTGGCTGCTTCTAAACGGCTTGGATCATCGGTGCCTGGGGCTGCTAATCGGCGCCTAAGCACCCGTGAACCCTTGGTCAATACGAACAGGGAAGGAGCTGCTGCGGGGCATTGATTCGAAAGGGCAGGCAGCAGGGGGCTTAACCACACAAATCTGCGCATAAATGCAAGCTTGTGTTTTGTCACCCGATAATCCGATACTAGTATTAGTAGTTACAATATCAGACACTCGGGCTCGCACTGGCTGGCGTAGGAATGACGCAGAACCCTACGTGTGAATACAGATGATGCAACAGGAGATGGTCCAAAAGAATCAACTTGGCACCCGCGAATATATCCATTGTTGGCGACCAGCCGCTCAGAGCACAAGCAAACCCAAGTCAGACTCAAGGGTATCAATTGGCGGAGCCGTGACTACCTGTGAGTTTCAGGAGTATCGGTATCCTGTTCTGTCATCGAAACTGTGTTTAATCACGACCAGGCAGCACAGTCTTGATCGATTCATCGATCCTGTTCCAGACGGAAGCTCCCACAGCAAAAAGCAAAAGCAATTGTGTGGCTGCGTGCTCCATGTAGAGTCTGGCTTGCAGCCACTAAAGAACGCCACAGAGGAAGAGAAAAAAGGAAAAAGGGAAAGGAAAAACCAAGGTTACCCTTGTGGCGATGTCCGCAATGATACGGAGTAAAGCGCAACCACTTGCGTCCTGGAAGCGGAAATCGCGTCACCGCCGGTGGGAGAATTGGGCGTGCATCCTGCAGGGAGGTTCAAAGCTGAGCAGGTTCCGTAGTTTGGCGGCGCCGTCATTATCCAAGCGGGTGCCTTTAACCCTTATAATTTAATTGCGTTGCTTGGCGCAGATTTTGGACTCTGCTTTTCTTCTGTCTACATACTCCGTACGTGGTCATGAGATTCCGCACAAGGGTGCGCCTGTCGTCTGTTACGTAAGCCATCACGCAGTACATTTTGTTCGGCGCGCTCCATGATCTGGCACTCGACTGACTGCCTTGCGAAGCCATCTGCTTTTGAACAGGCGGATGGCAGCAGTTGAATCAGGCCACATCTAAGGGATGGCTGCGCACTATAACCCATTGATTTTGTGTGACTAGCAATGGTCTGCCTGCTCAACCCTTTTCACCAGCAATCGCACGACTGGTTGTGGTGCATGCGAAAGCCGGCAGCCCTCACTTGAGGGCTTACGAAGTGGTTACACCTCCTTTCTGCAGGTACAATTATAAATACAACATTGACAACACACTGCTCGACACGCCTGACAGGCTGTACATGCATGGCGAATCGTTTTTGGCCAGGTTGCAATAACCGTACGCCCCCGATAGCACCCAGGGCTCCAGAACATCCCATGAGCCTTCGAGGGCGACGATAGACTTCAATTTTCTCTAGAATAACTCCGCAGACGGCCAGGACATCAAGCTTTACCGACAGGACGTACTCCGTACTTGCAATTCATCACTTGGAGCTGGCCGGGCACAGGTGGAGACAACTCAGGTTGACAGGGCTGTTATTGTAATGGAATCCTACCCCAGCAACGCCTGCAGGAGAAGTAAGCCAAAGATGCTAAAGTGCCTGCAGCAGAATCGACGGCGACCGGGCGACCAGATAACAAGGAACTGGCTCCACCAGAGTTCATTTGAAAGACCAGGATGTAGGATCGAGGACGGACGAAGCATCGTCATTTCCGTTGTTTGGCATCTGCTGAGCCAATCAACAGGCACCCCCGTAGAGAATATAATCAGAAGACTTGGCTGCTACTCCGTACACGAGCGCTCCTGAGGCGGAGCACATATTGTCCAGACCTTGAGCGAGTAATTACACTCTCACTTTCTCGACAATGGACTCCCCTCTTCAGAGCGACCGTTACAAACAAGCAATCTTGGTGGCATGGTGGCGATGTGTCTCGGCCAAGAGGTTTCAAAAAGGTTGCTTTTGAGTGACAAGTGGATAGTGGACAGCGTCGCCGTCTGGGTGCCGACGGCTAGTAGGCTAGTAGGCCGTCACACGCGGCCATGGCGATGTTCCAGTCAGGCTTGGCCCCGTTGGCCCCGTTGAACGCATGCTCCGGCCAGAAGCAGAAGAACCCCAAACCCTCCATGATTTGGCGTGGCGTTGGGTCAATTGGGGCATTCCCACGAGCCGGCGACTTAGCTTGCTGCTCCTCGATCACTTGACCTCCGTCCATGCTCGTGGGCTGCAGACAGAGAGCGGCGCTAATGACACCAAGGTCTTGCAAACTAAAATTGGCCCCCAAGACGTATCTACGTATCTTTCTTCATGTTCGCCCAAGCAAGCCATGGCGCTTCGACACTGTTGAACCCGTCCAGCAAGAAGCCAGCGAAAAGCTTCTCCTGACGAGCTCAAGAGCCAAGTTGCTGACCGTGTCCGTAGAGCAAAAAGACACCCTTGCCGTATGGGGGATGGTACAGCACATTTGAATTGCTGTACTCCGTACTCCGTATATCGTATCGTGGACTCGTGCAGCGGCCACATCGGTGTGCTGGTAAGCATTGTGAGCACAACTTGGGCCAAAGGTGGACGTGTGTGTTTCAACATTCATTGTCCCTGGTCTCTTGGTGGGCACTCACCTACTCGCCACGGTGCTCCGTAGGGTACGCAGGCAGGCCGAGTTGTTGGCGTGGTGCGGACAAGGGCAGGTTCCGCCAAAAGCTGCGGTGATGCCCACTCGAGATTTTTTTTGGAAGTGCCCTTGCACCGAATGGCTGGTGAGTGGCATCTTCGGTTGCCTTCCTGGATGACAATGGTGGCATTTGCCGAGTATACTGTGTTAAGAGGTACTTAAGTAGGTACTTAAGTAAGTACGGGGTACCGATGTGGCATCGGAGCGGAAACGAAGCAGGTCGGGTATCTCCCTCTGGTGGCTTGGGCCTATCAGCCTTGCCTAGCAGCCCACTGTCCAGACCGGCAGTGGGATTGTGTCTAGAATTTCACGTACCTGAGTACTTGAGTACATACAGTACCTAGGTAGGTATTTGAGTAAGTACGGAGTACGTAAGCTCAGGAGAGGGAGAGGTTGGTATCCCGTACAGAAAATGAACCGCTCCATAAGTACCTAGGCAAGGCGCCAAGTACGAATGACATGCCCCAGGCCCTCAAGACAACTTGGGCCAAGTTCCCACCCAGGTACCTTGGTAGCTACCGGATTGCTATCGAGGAGGCCTCAGACTCTACAATTAGGTTCCATACTACGGAGTACTTCGTACTTACTAAGCACTTAAGTAAGTACCTAGGTAAGTACTTACGGAGCATCCCTTTACTGTGGATTCCATGTGGACCAGTTGGACCTCTGGTTGACACGATTATGCCACCACGGCTGGGGGATTCGCCGCTATTTCCTTCTCGTTTGGTTCTGACTCCATACCTTTGCACAAAGTACATTAAGTACTTAAAGTACTTAGACCTACCTACAGGCTACAGGGTACTTACTTCCTCCTAGGAAGTATGTAATAGCCCTCCCGCTCCCGCATCACCCTTTCTTTATTAGGCATTCAGGCAGCCTTCGTTCGCTCTTGCCTGTTTATCGTCTCCTCTACCGCTTGCAACCTTTGCCTCAATTCGCCGTACAGCCATCATCCATCCAGTTGGGCCACAACATATACAGGCTACTTCAACTATATACGACGACTCTTCGTATTCACGAAGCCCCCTAGTCTCCGGGACCTGTTTGTACACTCTTGTGCCACCGACGACACTTGTTGCTCGCCCTTTTTTTTGGTGGAGGGGATTTTCCTTTGGTTGGCCTCCTGCACAAGAGGCCGCCATTTTTCGACTGGTGCCCGAGCCTTCGCCTTTCGGGAACTTAAGTGCTCATTATTGGAGCGACACATTCCACACACAGCCGGCCGCATTTCCAAGTTGAGCTGACATCCCAGGCACCTAGACGCCAGTTGCAGAATCCAAAACCGCAGAGAAGGACCATTTCAGCTGGCTAGGAACGCCATACCGTCGCTCTGTCTTTGCATACCAGACGGCACATTTTCCCAGTTGCGCTCTACATGCTGGACCCGAACGCGTTGCGCTGAGGATACAACGCGCTTGCGCACACGCCAATCCACGTATTCAATCGGATCTTTCGACGGATCAAAAATCTTGCCCTGTCCAGCATTGACCACTTTCACACCGACGGCGCATCTGCATACACGCGCTGCTGCGTCGCTGCGCACCGGACCTTGATCTTTCTGCACGCACTTAATGAGTGGCGACTGTCGACTGCTTTGATACTACCACGATGATCTACGTCGACATCCCAGACCCGTTTCGAAGATTCGCCGCCTCAACCTTCGTGATCCGTCACTAGCGAGTATCACGACAATAGAGAGATCACGGCGTTCTGAGCAGTCGAAGCACAATGGCTCTTTGGCCATTTCGACGCAAGAGCGTTCGCAAACGCTCCAGGAGTGGCGCTGCTCTCTCCGACAACGAAGCTGCGCCGGTTCGCAGTCAGGCCGATGCTGCCCTCGCTAAGACCGCATCCAAAAAGGCACGGACGGAACCGGCAAAACTTCAGCGACGACAACGAACATACAGTTTTTCACCCGGTCGCCATGATTCTATACTTATCGACCGGGCACGGCGCAATGCCGAAGTGGCAAGCCAGCCAAGACCGAACTCAGACGGCGAACATGCATCAGGAGTAGCCTGGAAACGCACGCCAACTTTGCATCCTACAAGGCGAAAGAGCAGCAAGCGAAGACGCGATGACCACGACAGAGAGGCCGAAATCAAGGCCATGAGCGCCTACATGCCGGCGCGGGCGGCTGCGGACGCTCAGGCTCGCTCCAACTCCAAGCGTGGTATGAAAAGGGCCAAAACTGGTGGTCTAGACCATGGCCCTGCACCAGCATCCCAGGTCTCCTTGCCGTACCCTGATTCTGTACCATCGGTCATGTCGGCAGATTCAGATTTCATTTCCTACAAAATTTCGGCTCTGGACTCACTGGCCCCACGGCCCACCCTGAAATATACTCCAAGCACGAGACGTACACCATCGAGAGGGGCCGCTCCAGGTGCAACAGACTCGCTCAAGAAACCGCTTGGCGGACGACAACCTATACAGGAAGATGAGCTTGATTCGCTGAAACGCATGGAAGACCTTGCCAATGATCTCGACGCGAAGGACTTGCGAGAGTTGATGGAGAGAGATACTCGTCGGAGAGAACGAAGACGACAGCAGGATCAGGAACGAACGGCGCGGAGGTTAGCACGCAGAGCGGAAAGACATCGCAAAGATAATGCGGAGGCACAGAAAGCAGGTACACCGCCGCCCGAGAACTTGGAACGAGGCGTTCTGGGTCGCGAATTGGTCGGGCTGGGTATTGAGCCCGCGTCAACCGTGGTCACATCCTCCAAGAGACGAGATGTGGACACACTGCCTGATGCTCCCACCCAGATCGAGGATAACGTCCAGCCCACAAAGCCGTTAGAGTCGTTCCACCGCCCAGAAACGTCTCCTCAGGATGAGGCTTCTCCCCAGGAGCAAACGCCGTCAACACGGCCAAAGATTGCGGAACCCCCGAAGCCGGGTTCTGCTTTCCCCCAGGGATCAAGGCTGGCTGGCATACTGCGTTCCAAGAAGTCGAGATCGAAGTCAACGCTAGGCTCTGACAAAGACCAAGCCGCAGACGGTGAATCCTGCCGCAAGAATTCCGAAGGCAGCACCAAGACCGGTAGCCGGTTCTCTTTCTCTTCGCTGTTGAAATGGGGAAGCAGGAGCCAGAGGTACTCCGGCCCGTCGTCTTTCTCCAATACCTCACGCGAGGAGATGCACGCCGGTGCAACTACTCAGAACCCAGCACAAGCTGAAGCGTTGGCTAGGTTGCAGGGCGAAGATATGTCCAACTCAGCCAATTATTTGGCCGCCAGGTCGGGTGCCGGTGTCCCCAAACGAACCAAGTCGAGATTTCGGGAAGACTTGCCGGAATTCCCTATATCACCACCAGACTCAAGAGTACAGTCCCCCGAAGCTGACTCCCTGCTCCCCGTGCCTGCAGCGAAATCGCATGAAATGGATTCAAGACCAAAGCCTCCGTCACGGCATGATACCCCGTCCTCGATAGAACGACCTCAGAACGCGCAACCGGTCGAGCCACACCAATCTACATCCCTGGCTTCGATAGACTCTGAGGGATCGTGGCTTAGCGGCCGCGTAGGTAGCATGAGGACGTCGGTGAAGCGAGACAGCTTGATGAGAAGCAACCGTCGTGGGAACGCACCGTCAGGTTCTCCTACGAATTCGACCCAAGAGGACCTGGCCATGACCGACGATGAATGCCTTTCGCGGCTGGTGCCAGACCGAAATTGGGGCGCAATAGCCAGTGGATGTCGCTCAGGTGAAGGACGCGCTAGCAGCGATGCGGGAGAGTCAGTTTCCACGACTGACAATGTACAGTGGGGAAGTGTTGGTGCCAAACCCGAGGTCGTACAGTTTCATAGCCACAACAGGGAGACCATACGCAGCCAGCATGTGCTGTTGAACATTGACTCGGGGGATGAGGAGGATGATGCGATGCTCACACCAAGCAGGCCGACATGAGCAGTAAGAGAGGGCGACGCGAGGCAGCGATAAACTACCGGCAACAAATTACCGCTATTCGAGTTCACACTGAAGAAGAGTTTTCCGATTCCCGTTGGATACATAAGCATTTCCTTTGTCTGATGACTTTCTGTGTAGTTCTCGTCAATAGAGACTACACTCGACAACATTTCACCAACAACCCGCCAGCGCGTTGGCAAAGATATGCTTGCCCCCGTGCCTGGTAACACCGTTGGGTCACGACCAAAACAATAACCGGCAAAAAACCCCCCCCCAAAAAAAAAACAAAAAAAAATCAATAAAGCCAACAAACACTATTAAAGCGACAAAACGAAAAAAAAAAAAAATTACAAAAAATGCCGAAAACACAAAAAAATTTATTAAAAAAACTATAAACCGGGCAAGGAAAAAACTCTCTTCAATCCCGACAATTTGAACTTGTGCGATGCCGAATGCTAGAGCGCTCACTTGTTGCATCTTCTCACGCTCTCTTGTCCCCTCACAACTCGCCACTAGTCCTGCTCGCCGACATCCTCGAGCTGTGTAGCGCTTGGCTCTTCTCGCTTCGAACTTATATACTGCATAAGATACCCATAATTCACTCACTGCTTTTTTTCTTCGATTTTTGTCTTGCTGTTCTTATTCTTCAAACACTTGAGATATTCAGCAACTAGGCTCAACCACGACCCCTGAGCTCCACGCTGCAGGAGTGCCTAGGTTTGGTTGCCTGATGGAGCGGGAGGTTTCATCCTCGTGCTTGTTACTTTTGCTGTATTTCAGTGCCAGAATACGGGGGCGTAAAGGGGGGAACGTTGGTCTTGGTGTGGCTTTTTTTCTCTTCTTGCAAGGAAGCGTTTGCATACTGGCAAGCCATTGGGGCTCTTTTCAAACGGTGCTTGGAGCCTTTGGCTCGTGTTGGTTTTTGTAGCTGCTACATAGAAGGCAGGGGTGAGGCGAATTTGCTTGCTTTGGATGCAGCAATTTTGTCGTGGGTCGGATGGAGTTTGATTGGTCAATTGGAATAGTCGTCTACGGCTTGATGTGTTTTCCTACGATTGCGACTGCATGTGCTGAACAATTGAGAACCATTACGGAGTAGAGCTGCATTGCATGGGCATTTGCATTCAAACAAACCTCGAAGTCGACTCCGCCCGTGTTGACGTCACACCAATGAGGAGCTGCGGTTGAAGGAGAGACGGGGATGGGGAGGCCCAGGCCGGCCAAAATTTCCATTTCCCACACGCGAGTCCTCACTCACGGTCGAGGACATTCGGCATTCAGAAGAGCTCAGAACACCCGGCCCGATTCTCGTCGTCCTTCCACATGCAATCGTCTCGTTTGAACACAAGGCTGGCCTCGGCCGCGCGCGCAATCACGGCCACCAGGGCGTTTCACGTGTCGCCTCCAAGGAGCATCGTTCACAATGTCAAAACGTATTGCGTCCCGATTGTCTTGGCCCGAATGCCTGAACCGTCCCAGCTAACAACTGTTGCGTTACTTCAGCGTCGAGGAATTCCAGAGGGCAGTAGCTGAGAATGACCGCGTTATTGTTGATTGCTTCGCCGCGTGGTGCGGTCCCTGCAAGGCCATTGCTCCCATTCTTGAAAAGTACGCTGGCTCACGCTTGAGTTGCAACAACGGGGTGCGCCAACAAGTAGCTCACTTGCTGATTCGCACGTCAATCGCAGACACTCCGAGGACGCCGTCTTCAAGGACAGAGTCCACTTCGTCAAGTTTGATGTTGACGAATTGCCGGCCGTGACTCAAGCTCTGGGCGTTCGCGCCATGCCTACCTTCTTCTTCTTCAAGGACGGCAAGAAGGTGGACGAGATGGTTGGAGCCGACCCTCCCGCCCTGCTGGAGGCCCTGAAGAAGGTTGCGGCATAGACCCGGGCTGGGGGAGACGTCGACTAGGGTGTCACGTGTGTGAAGGGCATAGGGATGGGACAGAACCCCCCCCTCGTGAAATAGTTGCCATGTTGATGTACAATATTAGACCTAGACTTGGGGTGTCTGTCCGGCGGTATGTCTCGTACCTCACGCCTCATCAAGTAAGTCCTACGCCCCTGCTTGACGCTGGTGAAGTTCCACCTCTCAGCCGAAAATGTAGGGTGCAGGAAAGAAAAGGTGGCAAATGAAAGCTTTATTTCCCATTGCACAACATCACAATGCGTGTGTTGTATTTGACAGCTCCGCGCCCCGATATCCGGCGAGGTTGGGTGTGGAACCGGCCACGCGCACTGTTTCGGTTTCCATGACAACCGCGACGCGACCACTCAACACGCCATCCCGACACAAAGCCACGACGGCCTGTAGCCTCCGCATTCGACAACCAGCAGAGGAACAGACGGCGACAACATGGCGTACAATCCAAGAATGAGCATCATACCCTCAGGTCAGCAGCAGGGCCGCTCGCGGAAGAAGGAGGACGAGGCCGATGCCTTCATGCGCCTCCCCGACCGCGAAATCGTGGGCTGCATCACCGACATTGGCATCCACTTCACGGTCGCGGACCTCCAGAAGCCGAACCCGGCGCACGTACAGCAGATCTTTGAGTGGTTCGCAGAGCTGCTGCTCAATGCCACGCGGGAGACGGTCGAGCCGGCCATGCGCGCCGCCGCCGACCACGTCTGCGGCGACTTCTCCGACGTGGTGCCCACCGACACGCGCAACCTGATGGGCTTCTACGTGTCGCTGCGCCGGCTGCTGTTCGAGTGCGGAATCACCGACTTCACCTTCAACGACCTGTACAGGCCGTCGTACGAGCGGCTGGTCAAGATCTTCAGCTACCTCATCAACTTTGTGCGGTTCCGCGAGTCGCAAACCACCGTCATCGACGAGCACTACAACAAGTCGGAGTCTTTGAAGACGCGGATCGAGACGCTCTACGCCGAGAACCAGGAGAACGAGGCCCGGCTCGAGGACATGAGGCGCAACCGCAAGGCCATGGAGGCCCAGGTCCGCGAGAAGACGACGAGGAACGAAGAGCTCAAGCAGCGGCTGCTCGAGCTGCAGCGGCACCAGAAGACGGTCGCGACGCGCCTGGACGAGGCCAAGGCGAAGAAGGGCGAGCTCACCGGCCTCTTGGAGCAGAGGACGCAGGACAAGTTGACGCTGAGGCAGGAGAGCAACAAGCTGCGGCCGTACATGCTGCAGAGCCCGTCGGCGCTGCAGGACAACCTGGCGGAGCTGCGCGAGATTCTCAACAGCGACAAGGCGCACATTGACGCCCTGGACCGGAGGGCCCGCGCGCTGCAGACGTCGACGGACTCGTTCGCCGTCGTGTCGTCGGACGTGGCGTCGTGCATCAAGATTCTGGACGACATCGCCACCGAGCTCGCCAGGGAGGAGGAGGAAATGGTCAGAAACGCAAAGCAGCGCGAAGCGCTGTCCGAGAGGGGGAACAACGCCAGAGAGGTGGAGCGCGCCGAGGTGATGCTGCGAAGGCAGCTGAGCAAGTGGACGGATCGGACTGAGAAACTGCGCGAGCAGAGCGCCCAGAAGGCTCACGAGGCCAAAGAGAAGATGCACGAACTACGCGCAATTCATCGCAGGTTGACCGAGGAGCACACGGAAAAGGCCAAAGAGATGGAGATTCGGAGAGTGAGGATCGAGCAGACAGAGAAGAAGGTAAGTTGTGCTGCCATCTTTTTTCCTTTTTTTTTTTCACCATTCTAGAAACTAACAAGAAGACAGATGCTCGACCTCAAAGAGACGATTGAAAACGAGGTACACGCCGCATATGACGAGTATCTCAAGATGGAAGCACACATCAAGCTATACATTACGGAAATGGAGCAGTCCATCAGTTAGACAGTGTCTTAGTTCGTCGTTTTGCATTTTAATGGCCTGACATGAAGGGACATGACGAGATACCATAACGCGGCGTTGAGGGCATTTATAAGTTTGTCATGCCACTAGGTTAGTGTGAGCGACAAAAATTGGAACAATGCAATGAAATTGGGATTATCCGTCACTTCTATTGTCCACCTTGAACCAACTGCAAACAACTCTGCCCACGGGGACAATTGGTCCACTCCAGGATCCATCTTCCTTCACCGACGAGCCCGTTAGGACGGGCACGTTCTCTTTCAGACATTGCTCCAGCTCGTCTGTGGCAACCGTTCGCCTGGGTTCTACCGCCACTGCTCGGAACTTATTCCTCAACGCGCTCTCAACGAATGCCGCTGTTGAGAAACTTATACCTTGAGCCGACCACTCCATTCCATCTCGGTGGATTTCCAAAAGTCCGTACACAATTAGCACAGGCGGCTCTTGTAAGGAATCTAGATTTGGCGGTTCGGTTATTCTAGACCTAGAAGCCGAGAATGTAGACAGGTACGCTCGGAGATGGGTCACAGTGGGCGCGAATACGACGTTGATGTGTCGCGAGATGGCTGTTTGGAAGAGGGTTGCGCGAAGGAGCGGGTGACGACGCTCGTCTTCCTCATCGGTAGCGTGAGGCTCTTGTTGTTGGATATCCTCCGCTAGGGCGCTTATAAATTGATCTCGGGGCCACCCGATGATCACTGTCGTCGGATATGTGGTATTGGCGATCAAATATTGGAAGAGCTCGGATGGTGTGGCTGGGCGGAGAATGGTAGGCTGCAATCCTGCCATAGTTGGGGGTCAGACCTATGGCTTTGACAATTCTGGGCTCATAATGGAAGGACCCGAGAGCGTCTTGAGTCTGAATTTCTGCTTTGGGCGGCGGCGGCGCAGTAATTCGCAGCTCGTCATAATCACGGGAGCCGCAAGTTGTCGGTGATTGGTTATTGTCTGTGGACGTCTGGCAGAATTGCACAGGTCTAGCGGAGGCCAAAGCACGGGAAATTTCGGCACAACTCGGGAGTTCGTTTCGAAGAATGTGCATTCGACGGCATGGCTTTATTTTCAGTCCGAGTTCAAAGATGGAGGAAACCAGGAATGGAGGAATGTTGTCAAGTCACCAGGGGAAACTCCTCGAATGATGATGAAGTTGGTTGAGTCTGGCTTGGTGGAGGGGACTGGAGGGACAAGCGGTTGCCGTTGGTGGGGTAGCGGCGGGCGGGAAGGTGCTACCCATTGATTCATGGCCAGGCTCGGCGGCGGATTCGACTTCGTCCGTCTTGATTCATCAACATCACACCTCTCTAGCTGTCGCAACGGAAACCCGCAAGAAGCGTCAGCAGCGGAGCCCCGGCTCACATCTTCGATATGGAGTCCATATCGAGGATGTCCAGCTTCCTAGGAACAGGTAGGCATGTCCCACGCCAGTCCTTCCTTCCTCAGCAGTGCTAATCGACTTCATCTCAGCAAGAGCGCTGACCCTCGACGTGGCTCAGGCTACGCGCAGTGTCAGCTCGAGCTCTCCCTCCCTCAGCCCAAGAGAAATTGAGAAAAGCCTTGAAAGCGGAAGTGATAAAGATGTCCTGGGCGCATTGCGGCAAGTTATATCGGTGCGTCAATCAGGTCCCGCGTGGCTTATGGATTCTTACTTGCCACTGGCGGTGCGCTGACAAATGTCCAGATGATGTACCGAAGCCACGAGACATTGGGTTTCTTCAAATCTGTCGCCAAACAGGTTGCGTCGCCGAATGCCGAGATCAAGAAGCTGTCCTACATATACCTCACCCATCATGCCGAGGAGGAATCTGACCAGGCCCTAATTTCGGTCAATATCATGCTAAAGTCGTCACAATCTGATCCCAACCCGCAGATGCGAGCGTTGGCACTCAAGACAGTGTCTGGAATTCGCGCAGAGTCCATCAATCCATACGTCCTGGTTGCCGTCAAGCATGGAGTCGCAGATATGAGTCCTTATGTGCGAAAAGCTGCAGCTCTATCTATCCCCAAACGCTATCGCTTAGATCCAAGTCAGTCGCCAGAACTGATTGGCTATCTCGCAACTCTTATCGGCGACAAGCAGTACTACGTAGCTGGTGCAGCCGTGTCTGCTTTTTTGGAGGTCTGCCCAGACAGAATCGACTTGATTCACCCACACTACCGAGGTCTGGTGCGCAAGATTGTCGACATGGACGAATGGAGCCAGCTGGCCATGCTCAGACTCATGACATATTATGCAAGAAGATGTTTTCCCAGAGTCGCGCAGTCCGCCGCAACGCCGCGACATCATGATACAAATGTCGATGATTTTTATGGCGTCTCGCCACATGAAGACAAGACACAGCAAGTTTCTCTCCATAGCGACCTGCTGTTACTTCTCAACAGCATCAAGCCACTTCTTCAAAGCCGAAACTCGGCTGTTGTTGTTTCGGTGACGCGATGCTTCCTTGAAGTGGGCACTCCAGAATACGTCAAGCTCGCCATTGGGCCACTGATTGCGCTTTTGCGGGGGGCTCAGGATATCCAGCAGCTTGCATTGTACAACATTGTTTCAGTTTGTCTCCAGACGCCAAAAGACTTTGTCAAATATGCCAGTCACTTCCTCGTTAGAGCTACGGATCCTGCGCCGGTGAGAGAACTCAAGCTGGAAGTCTTGACGCTTATTTTCCCGCACAGTCCGCTCCACGTCAAAAGTCTCGTCTTGAAAGAGCTGGAGCACTTTTCTCAAAGCTCGAACAAGGCTCTGGCGCTGGAGGCGGTGAGGGCGATTGGGCGATGTGCCCAATCCGACGCCAAGACAGCTCCGAGATGTCTCAAACTTCTTCTCAGCCAAACCACTAGTTTAGACGGAACTTCAATAGCAGAGTCTTTGACAGTCATTCGTCACTTGATCCAGCAGGATCCTGAGGGTCATGTCGGAACTGCCGTTCGGCTGGCCAAGAATCTTGACTCAGCGTCTGACCCGCAGGCCAGGGCGACCATTATCTGGCTGGTGGGTGAGTTTTCTGGTGTGAATGGCGAAGACAATATTGCGCCAGATGTTCTCCGCATTCTCTTGAAAGATTTCGTGAGTGAACCCGAAGCTGCCAAGCGACAGATTCTACTTCTCGGAGCGAAAGTTTACCTCCATCATCTAAATAGAACGGCCGAGACGGAGAAGGCCAAGGGAGCAGTAGGGGATGCCCCGCGAGAGCCAGACACCCACCCTATCGTCCGTCTTTGGGACTACTTGCTCCTACTTGTAAGATATGACACCTCTTATGAATTGCGAGATCGGGCTCGAATGTACAAGTCGCTTCTTGAGGTCCCTCAGCTGGCCACGTTGATCGTTTTAGCGCCAAAACCAGCACCGGAAGCCCCCAGTCCCTCGGAGTCCAGAAAGGGCTTCGTGTTGGGCTCCTCGACGCTGGCTTTGGCTGGAGGTGGCTGCATTCATGGCCTAAGGGGCTATGAAGCCCTTCCTGACTGGGTCGAGCTGGGTAAGGAACCTGATTCCCGTCTCAGAGACCAAGCCGACGGTGGCACGTCTTCTCGACATGGTGAAAAAAGTGCGGTGCCGGCTGGTCAAATGTTGGACCAAGCCGTGAACTTGAGGCCACTGCCGAATAAGTCAAATGGGTTGGGAGAGGGTGTAGGGGCCAAGACCTTGGATGATTGGCTTGCAGAGGATATTGAGGAGGAGAGTGAAGAAACCGAGGAGGAAACGGAAGAGGAGGATGAAGAAGAAGAAGAAGAGGAGGAGGAGGAGGAAGAAGAAGAAGGAGAGGAGGAGGAGGAGGGGGAGGAGGAGGTAGAAGAAGAAGAGGACCAGAGTGATGAAGATGGCGAGCGTAGCCGTCTTGTCAAGGGATGACAGTCGTGTCATCACGTAGCATTCTCGGTGGCATCAGCACATAATAGTTCAGGAACTGTTATTAGCCCCAGCAGAGCTGTCCCTGGGGCAAACTAATACCAATTCAAGTTACGAAGGAATCAACAATTCGAATCTCTACGTGTCTCTTACACCAAGACCCAGGCGCCAAGGCTAGCCGATGCGAGACAGCCAACAAAATGAAATACGTGCGTGTATTCATCCGGGGGTGCATAAAAAACCCGCCATCGCAGACTGGGTGTCCTCTTCGGAAAACATACTCTCCATGCCTACTTGAGTACTTTTCTTGTTCCAAGCAGTCTCCGCGTCTCCGCTCTTGCATGCTGTTTACGAGCTCAACCGGCCAAAGCTACTGGACTTGCGTCGATTCGACATTTGTGTGCGACAATCCGGCCGGGCATGACGCGGGATGCTGCCACGCTCAGCCGTCAGATATCATGCAGTTCATTGCGTCGTCGCATGTACGTGGCCACGGTTACCATAATAGACAGGGCTTGTCTTTCCAGAGACCAGCAGTGACCGGTCCCATCTCAGGGGCATCGCATCCGACACAATCTGTCTGCCCATTCGTGCCAGACCAGCAGAGTCACAGCCGCGGGCGTGGTCGGTAGTCCATGATTCGTCACGGCGGGGTGCAGGCGGAAGCGAGATATTTATTTCTACTCCTTGCCCCCGAGATATCTGTACACAACCGAAAAGTCGCGCCCCTTGCACTCATCCCGCCTCTCCGCAGCCTCGTACACGCCAAGGGCAGCGTCGGCCAGAGCCATCTTGGCCCCTGCCTCCCTGGCAGCCACCATGGCCAGCCTCAGGTCCTTCTTCATCAGGGAGATGCCGAATCCGCCGGCGTAGTCGCGTGCCGCGGGCGCGTTCGCAACGACGCCCCTGACGGGGTTGTTGACCTCGCTCGGCCAGCAGCGGCCGGTGCTGACGTTGATGACGCCGGCGAGCTTCTTGGGATCCAGGCCCCACCTGATGCCCAGGTTCATGGCCTCCGCCGTGGCAATGTTGCTCAGGGCGAGCAGGTAGTTGTTGGCCAGCTTGGCGGACAGGCCGGCGCCCTGCTCGCCGCAGTGAAGCACCCGCTTGCCCATCCGCAGCAGCGTCGGCTCGGCGCGGGGGACCGCGTGCGCGCCGGCCCCCAGCATAAAGGTCAGCGTGCCGGCCGCGGCGCCCACGACGCCCCCCGACATGGGGGCGTCGACAAAGGTGCCCTGTCCGGCGGCAGAAACCGACCCAGCCACCTCGCGAGACGTGGACGGGTCGATTGTCGAGCAGTCGATGAAGAGGCGGTCCTTTCTGGGCAGCGCGCCCGTCAGTATGGACTTGTACACGCCCTGGACGTGCTGCGGTTCGGGGAGGACGGTAATGACGGTGTCCTGCGGCGGCGCCTTCGCATTAGCCCCGCGTGCTTGCGCGCGGCGTCGTGACTTACGGCTTCCTTGGACGCCGCCCACGCGCTGGGGGCGAGCTCGACCTTTGCGCCGCCAGACGCGGACTTGACGTCGCTTTCGAGGCTCTTCATGGCCTCGGGGTTGATGTCGAAGACGGACAGCTTGTCGGTCGGCCTGAGCCTCGACTGGAGGTTCTTGGCCATTTGGTAGCCCTGCAGAGGCCGCCACGTCAGCTGGGTTGCCGTCTTCTGGGCCGGGGAAGCCGGGGGCACCGCATCGAGACCTACCATCTGGCCGAGACCGACAAAGGCATAGTGATCCTGCCGCCGGGGCGTCGACGCAAACCCCCGCCTCTGCGCGAGGCCTGCTAGGCGGGCAGCGACGAGTCTCATTCTGGGAGTTGATCAAGAGGCGAGTTTTGAGAAATTGCCTCTTCGGCCGCAACCCCGTGGCCAGGCGTCGGGAGAGGAGGGGGAGGGAAGATGGGAAAGACGAACGACCAGTGAGGCAAGACGGGCTGCGTCAACCCGAACCCGAACCCGAACCTGAACCCGCACTGACCCACGGCGTACCGACAAAGCCGGCCGTTGCCGCTGCCAGCCACTCTGCGGGACGCCGGGACGCAAGCATCCAGGATGGCGGGGTTTTGTGGGTGACGACTCCTCACGAGTGAGCCTTGGAAAACTGGAGCAGGCAGAGTTACGGCTTGATCAAATGTCTCTTCGTCCCTGGCGCCCGGCTGACACCACACCATCAGTGCAATGTCGGCATCACTCAGCTCTTCACAGCAACCACCAGACTGCTCCCTGCCCAGCCGTTTGAAATGCCTTGTAATCATTACAATCAACACTACTCTTCCTCGTGGCCCATCCTGCGGTACTCCATCTTGCACCTCATCAACAGTGGCCTCAAGCCCTGCGCAATCCTCCGACGAGCGCCTACCCGAGATCCCGCCCTTCACGTCTCATCTTCGCGCCTCCCTCCTGTTCTATCGCTTTATCACAGACGCCACTCGACCTACACCTTCCACCCAGAATGCAACGAACGGGAAGGCGACGTAGTCTCCAAGGGGAATATCAATCTCTCAAGACAATCGAACGAACGAAGGGGGTAAGATAAAATCCTAAAAATAAACGAAGGCGCAGGCCATTTTTAAAATTAAGTCCATCAACCTGAAAATCCAGAGCCCATCTAGAAAAGCATCTAACAAGAAGAATGGCGAAATCTGGGACTTGGCAAATCCCTATGTCCAAAGGCCAAAACTGGGTAGAAGCTCGAGATGTGCCCGGGGGGGGGGGGGGGCAGCTTCCTCTTTCGTCCCTCCCAAAGCTATAAAAAAAGAGAGAGACACACACACAAATAAAAGTATTAGCAAAAAAAGTATGGAATCTGCGCCAATTTCGGTTACCTTGCCAGGGGCAGTACCATGGGTAGCTTGGACACTCAAGCCGCATACCGTCCCTTACAAGAAGTTAACCAGCCATGGAACGAGAGCACTATTATTGAACGTTAGCCATGACATACTCGTCAAAGTAATAACATGTACAAAACACGACGAGATTCGTAGGCCCCAACTTACCCAACTGCAACTGTGGCCCCAATACCAAACAGAGCTCGGTTCTTGACTCGGTCTTTCCGTAACTCTGCCTCAGTTTTGACTTTCTTTGCCCGCGGCTGCTCTTCTTTAGCTTCTTCAACCATATTCGGCGATTTTTCGTCGTCCTTCTCAGACACAGAGATATCAGCAGCCTTGCGCTTGCCCTTTTTGATTGTGGCCGTGGGTGTGGCTGCGGTTGTGTCCTTGCCCTCGTCATCAGGCGTCTTATGTTGCTCTGCATGTTTTTCGTCCGCTTCCCTGTCCCTCTGTACCATCTCCTTGGCTGCTTCCATCATTTTAGCGACTTCTTCAGCACTAGGTGGCTCCCCTGCCATGGGAAAAGGAACATCAACCTCCGTAACGATATGCTTGGTCTCATGACCGGCAGCATCCTTTGAAACTTCATCCACACGTATCTTCATGGTTGCATCCTCGGTCCTGGGTTCCAAAATCACGGCAGGCTCAAACTCGCTCGTTTTCATGGCAGGGGCCTCCTGTTTGCCCTTCTTGGAGTCGCCATTAACTTCCGCTTTGTCCGCCGCAGGCTCCATCGAGCTGGCTTTGGATTGAGTTTTACGCTTCCGCGGAGAGGCAGGAGCACGTCTCGAACCCTTTGTGGGGCTGACAGATCGGCGGCTGCGAGCGCTTTTGGCCATGGTGGCCGTTGATGGCGGTGCAAGCTTTGCAGAGGCCTTGGCTAAATCGAATTTCGGCGGCGCGGCGATAATCTTTTGGGGAGACTCGGGGTGCGAGGTTGAGGATACAGAAATCTTTGCAGGGTCTAGCAAAGCGCGGATCCAAACACCAATAGAGTATTCTTCGGCCAAAGCCAGAGCCTGCTCCGGGGGAATCCAGATGTTGCCAGCAGTCTCCTCCGGACTGGTCGTCGGGAGAGACTTGATGTACTTGCGCTCGGCTTCCTCATCCGAGGCCTCAGCGTAGGGGAATGTGGCCTTGAACATGCCCGTGGCGGAAACGTAGCCGTCGAAGCTTCGGCGCATGAGAAAATAGCTCGTCGGGCTCGACTTGAAGATTCCGGAAACGATGCCTTTGGGCAGGGGCGCCCGCAGGTGCGCGTAATCGAAGACACCAAGAGTGGCAGCCTCGGCCTCGTCACCGCCAACCATCTTAGGGGTAAGCTTGGTTTGACCAAGCCGACGGCGCTGAACAAGGTCGAGATCTGGAGAGGATACATTGATAAGCCTGCATGAGCGCAACCAACGAGGCAATGTCTGAGGGCGGGGGAGGGGTCAACATACAGTCAGGAACATTCTCGAGCAGAAGCGGGTTGTGCCGCGTGGGAAGGCTTCGCTGGGTCGTTGTCGCCATTTTTGTGTGACCGGTAGACGTTGGTGAGCGTTAGAAGTCACGTCGTGACGCCAAGCGAGAGCATCAACAAATGCCACTCTGTAAACGACGAACCGGAAGTCCAAAAGGCCAGTTATAACGTGTGACAGCCCTCGATGATAGACTGCAATTCGTCGAAACGAAAAACGTCGCGTCAGCGTCGTCGAAGTGGGTAGAGGCAGGGATTTTGCGCGTGCGAGTGCTCAAGTCGGAGCGGATACGTGATGTTACATACAAAAGTGCCAGAGTAGCGAAAGCACGTGAGGTTGAAGCACGGACGGGCGGCCAATCCTGCAAAAAAAAAAAAAAAAGATGCTACTCAAGGCAATGCCCCGTGATGAGACGCGAGAGGAGAATAATTCTGTCTGATGGGATGACCACCCTGCTGGCCAGGTGCAGAGAGGGAAAGCAATCGGAGACGGGGGTGGGAGAAACGGAGTCGCGCAAAAGGACGCCTGGTGCACGAGAAACATGGGACGGGAGGCCGAGGGGCTCCAGTGTCCAGTGTCCAGAGTCCAAGAGTCCAGAGCAGCAGCCCCAACGCCAGAGAGAGTGAGTGCTGAGTGGTCAGTCAACCGGCAGGGCAGGCAAGTGCTCAGGTGGGTTTACTTGAGGCCAGCTGGAGCCTGGCGGTGGCCGGGGGGCGTGGACAGGGGCCACAAGGCTACTCCCAGCTGTGCAAGAGGGGTTGTGGAGGTACAGGGCTAGCACCTAGGTACGTACCTACTAGGCACATAGCCGGGTACTTCCGTCACTCGGGCGCGCAAGTTGGCTCTCAAGCGTCAGGCGCTAGCGCAGGCCATGTCATTGGCTGCCAAGCTCACTCACAAGCTGTCCGGGGGCCAATCAGGCTACGAGGACGGAGTCTTGAGGCTTGGTTTAGAGTACCTGAGTCTTGTGTAGATGCTACCATGGTGCTAAAGTACTGAGTACTTAGATCTTGCACTAACATTCAATCAAATAGGCGCTGTAATGCTTAATTTCATGCCGCCTCGACAGAGGATAACCGCCGGAACATAAAGACCGTCGCCAACTACGTAGCTCAATGAGTGCGGTGAGCTTCTGATAAACCTAAGCTACTATTTATCTACATTGACACAATCTTGTCAATCTCACTACCTTTGCCATTCCGTACCGTTATATGGTACAATGTGAAACCGTGCCAGTCTTGCGAGACATCCAACGTCGAAATAGTTGTCAATGAGGACGGAGAATTAGCCACCGGGTTGCATATGCTTCCCGTCAAATAGGCCATGCAGAGAAGGCACAGCTCATCAGTCGATAGTATACACCTCAAACTAGAACAATATCAACCGTCTCCAGATCGCGCTCTCCAACGCTTCACCACACATAAACCCGTGTACGAATGCGTCCCCAATCAATAGGTAAGTTACCCATTTTCTACTCTCCGCACGATATACGGGACGGTAGCACCATAAAACACGACCACCATATCGCCACCTTGCGCGGCTGGTGGCACCAACCCGACATACTCCCCTCGAGTTGTCGCAAACCCGCGCCCGGGACACACCGCAATCGCCTGCATCTGGAAAGTCTGCACAGCATCCATTTTCCCGCCGCCCATGTCAGTCCGATAGCTGCGCCCTTCTCGCCAGGCGGCCAGGGCGGCACGATATGTTGACGCCGGGTTTTCAATGGGGCTGCTTTACAGGATGGCATTGCGGCCCGTATATGTGTCGTCCATCAGCAACAAGCGCGCAAACACTTCTTGGTTGTCCATGTATCTGGGCTTTCCTCTGATCCCTCTCAGGTAGTTATCAAACGCCGGGCGAAACTTGTCATGGAATGCCAAGATTGACGGCTCGCCATCGGCTGTTACTGGCGCGCCATGGACATGGACAACACTGTCGATTGTGTCAACTATCATGCCGCGAAGACTGAGACCGCCAGATCCCGACTCGTCGCCAATCATGCAAACATGAGGTTCCGTAAATCCGGCGGCAGCGTATGGAACGGGACGCACGCCAGCAATCTGTCTCGGCGACTTCGTCAGTCCCGCCCAGTCCGGGACCCATGATGGAAGTCTTCGTCCAGAGCTGTTTCTTCGTTGGAGACCTGCACTGTCAAGCATTTTGATAGTGAAACTCCGTCGAACTTGGAGCGCTGCAAAACGTCGAAATACTTCTTCAACAGTTTGCGTGTAGGGACCAATGGCTCGCCGGTCGTCTTCACTCATGAGCGCCAGCAATCCAAACACCTTGTTCGCTGGATCAGTAGCAGCAAAATCCCTCGTTAGTTCCATAACCTCCGGTGACCCCATTCTCCCTCGCTCATTCTTGATTTGCTGCAGCTTTGCATAGTTGAGATAATTCTTGAGCCCATCATTGCCGCCAAGTTGCATCATCTCCTGCAAACGACTCGGCGGATTGTTTCTATGAGTTGGTGCGGCTGAGGCTCGATGGTCGAGACGAGTGTAGGCTGCCTGCCATTGCTAACTATAACGTCAACTAATGCCAGCCTCAATGCGGCAAGGAGTTGAAAGAAAAGGCCAAGATGAGGAGTCCGCGGAAAGACTACATACAGGCTTTGACGTCGCATCATCGATGATTCTTTGGTGCGGGCGTGGTTTGCTTCAAGCTCCCTAGCTTGAGGTCCACTGCGAAGCCTTTTTTATAGTTCGAGTTCAACGCTGCTTCGCCCAAAGGGGAAATGCCACTTGCCGCATACAGGGCCCTGCTATTTGTGCGGCAGAAAATCGCTATTCGTGCGGCACTAAACCCGATTTAGCGGCACCAGACTCGATTTAGATAAGTGGCCGGGCGGCTACACTCCTCTATATATTTTTACATATACCTACATAGAAAAGGCTATAATCTAAAAATTTAAGCTGGATTTAATTAAATCTTAATAATATAAGCCTAGGCAAGCGCTAGCAGCGCTTAAATTGCTTAAAAATGTAATTTCTAGTGTTTTTAATAAATATATATATATATTTATAGGCCTTAATTATTCTGCTGCTTAGGCTGTTAATTGTTCTACTGCCTCTAAGAGCGCTGCCTAGGCTCCTAAGAGGTTATCTATTAAATCTATAGCAATACTAATACTGCTGCTTGCTCTATAGCTTATCTACTTGTTAATTAAGTTTGTATATTATTTAAAGCGTTTATTAACTGCTGCCTTAACTGTATTGCAAGTCTTCTTTATTATTGCAGTATTAGAGAGATTAAGCGGCAAGAATCTTTATTAAGCGGCAAGAATCTTTATTAAGCAGCAAGAATCTTTATTAGGCAGCTTATTAAATAGCTCCTTAGCTTTAGAGGCAAACAGGTTATTATGTAATTCTTTAAAAAAGCTACTAAAGCTAGTAAACTTAGGTATATAGTTATTATCTATTAAGAATATAAAAGAGCAGTATTTTTGTAATAAAAAAAAAAGTTAAAATTATTAAATTTAATAATATTATATTGTTGCAAAAAGCAGCTCTATTAGTAGCTGCAGCATAAATTATTATTATAGAGTATTTTTGTAATAACACTTGCGTTGCTAGGTCAACGCATATAAATTTATATAGCAGGGCGTGGCAGCTTAGGGGTGTGACTAAATTGGGGTGCAACTGAATTAGGCTTAGCGCCGCGCGAATCTAAATTAGGCTTAGTGCCGCACGAATAGCGATTTTCTGCCGCACAAATAGCAGGGCCCCGCATACAACAACCAAGAATCGCAGCTTCCCAGGCTACCACCAGGCAAGGTATTGGCCACAAGGCTCAAGATATCTATGAGCACGCGTGCATTTGATCTCGGGCTCACCCGCCAGTGCCTCAAATGCAAATTCTCTCAACCCAATGCTTTCAACGTTGTCGCACAGGTTTTGAGCGCTCGCCCGCAGGAGGCCCGTATCCATTATCCGAGATGTTTGGCGGCCCATGCCCAATCAAGCCCGACACGAACCCCACCATCGAGGCGTAGGCTGCCCGCCCCTCCATTGTCACCGCAATCGCCTCGACCAGGCAACTCCCTGACCAGCCCTGGTCTTCTCGTACGTTCTCTTTTTCCGCTTCAGTCTTTTAGATTTCCGTTGCCTATAGACTGCGAGGCCTTTTTTGGGGCCATTGCCTGCGTGTTCTATCTCCTTTCACTATAAGCAGCAAGCTACTTAGTATACATATATCACCATCGGGGCAAAGGAAACCCCGCCCGCTCAACCACCCACCGTTGGCATTTAGGCCCAGCGAGACCTTACCACCACCATTGGACAACAAGATGGCGTCCCATGAAGAAGATTCCATGCCCGAAGAGACTCAGGGCTACAAGCTCTCCCAGCCCAAGCAGAGCTTAGCTCAATACGAGCAGATGGGTAGGTTGACTTGGCACTGCTTTGTCCCAAAAAACCGTTGGATTGCCCATCCACTTTCGTCCAGCAAACGTTCTTGGACCGGGGCGAGATATACCGTCTCCGACTCTGTTCAGAACAAAATTCATAAAGTTAACGGTCTTTTCTGCTAGATGCCGGGGATGAGTCTCTCCAGCGGTATAAAAAGTCGCTCGGCTTGGGCGGCGGCAAAGATATTTCCGACCCCAACGACCCCCGAGTCTGCATCATCCTCGCTCTGACCCTGGAATCGCCTGGCCGTGACCCCGTCACGATCGACCTGTCGGCCCCCGGGAGCGAGAAGAGTCTGAAAGAAAAACCTTTCAAAATCAAGGAGGGTTCCAAGTTCACCATGAGCGCCGAGTTCAAGGTCCAGCACGAGATATTGAGTGGTCTACACTATGTCCAAGTCGTCAAGCGCAAGGGTATCAAGGTCTCCAAGGACTCGGAGATGATTGTAAGGAATGCCCCTTTGATCTTTGTGGAGACCGGGCTGCTAACTTTAATGGTAGGGGAGCTATGCACCCAATACCGACAACCAGCCTACCTACACCAAGAAGTGTAAGTCATATGGTGAACCATCCATCTCCTAGCGACCTGGATACTGATTCTCCCATCCAGTCCAGGAAGAGGAGGCTCCGTCTGGGATGCTCGCCCGTGGTCACTACAACACTGTTTCTAGCTTCGTTGACGACGACAAGAAGAAGCATCTCGAGTTTGAGTGGAGCTTTGACATTGCCAAGGACTGGTAAGCCATGGCCTTTGTCTGGGGTAAATTTGACATCGCATGCTTGTTGAGCGTAACGAGGGAATGAAAATACCTGGAAGGCTGTCTTTTATTTTTCTAGTGAAACGAAAACCCGTCGCTTTCATATTCGTATATTACCACGACTAAAATTAACAAAACCCGAAATTTTCTATATCTCACGCAAAGCTTAGCTCCTGCCAGAAATCCCTACAGATGGCCCTCGAACCATTGCAGCTGGTTATGCAATTCTATCCATTTGCTGAAATATGTGGCATGCAAGAACGCCGAGACAGCACAGCGCTAGCCTATACACGATGCGCCCACGTCACAAGAAGTAGTCGGGCAGAGAATTGCCGTCGGCGGCCTTCTCATTTCCCGGCTGTATGTCCTTGTGCTGGTCGTTTTCAGGTGCCGCTGCAAAGACATTGAAGAACCTCTCCCCATTGTCGCTCACCTCCAGCACACTGGCCATATTACCACATCTGTAGCAGTAGTTGGGGGCACTCCACACAGTGCTGAGCCTGTCGCCATATAAAACTTGGAAACCTTCCTGGCAGAGTTGATGTGCTCGCAGAATATGGGACATGTTGTTCACAGCCAGAAACTTCTTGACTACCTGGGCTCCGAAAGTATAGCCGGCTCCGCGGGGAGAAAGGGAGAATTCGTCTCGTTCAGGGTCCGGGTCCGACCATACTAGGTCGGCCATGGGGCCTTCGTGGGGGATCTCGCGGAACCGATCTATGATTTTGATTTGATCAATGGAGTGGATTGATGGCGACAGCCCTAGCATTCGTCAGCACGATATCCCTCGCACGGACATGAAAAATAGCTGGATTTGGAGCATACCACCGTGGACGCAGAATATCTGGTTGTCAATGACAACACTCAGAGTTAGGAAGTCAAACATGTCTGTGAAATAATGCCACACGTTTGCATTTCCGTACTTCCTAGAACACTCAGTATAGAAACCGTATGACTGGGTGACGCCTCGCGATTCATGGTTGCCGCGGATCAAGTGCACACGGTTGGGGTATCGTAATTTCAAGCAAACAAGGAGGGAAATCGTCTCGACACTAAACATGCCGCGGTCGACATAGTCGCCTGGCCGGAGGAGGTCAGCAAGGCCCGCCGTCGAAGCAGTTCATGGGTGTTGGTAAGGGCGCGAGGATTACCTAGAAAGAGATAATTGGTATCAGGGCAGAAGCCCCCTATTTTGAATATCTCGATCAGGTCGAAAAACTGGCCGTGAATATCGCCTACTACGGTGACGGGAGCGCGCACATGGACGACATTGCTCTCACGCATGAGTAATTCTTTCGTCTTGGCGCATATTGCTTCGATGACCGACTCTGCCAGGAGTTCCTTTTTGTAGAGGCGTGATATGCACTCGTCCAAGTCGACGGACGCTATCGATGGTTAGGACCGAGGCAATGAGTTCCAGGCATGAGCAGGAAAGCGGTGATTTTTGCGAACCTGGTAAGCTCGGCATGGCTGATATCTGATATGCGACGCGGTGCACCCGGTCAGGGCTTGGCGAGTAAATGTGTTGTTGGCAGAGGATCGCCGACGCTGGGCTGGCTGCATCAGGTGTAGTCGTGACAATTCCTGCTCCGGGAAGAGGAAATATCTGGAGGTGTACTGGCGGTATGAGCCAACATGATCGGGATTGCCTCGGAGCTCAACGCCGGCAGAGGTGCCTCCTTTGACAAGGGCGACGCAGAGAGGGCCTTATACAGCCATCACAACAGGAATGGCGCTCTCTGTAGACTTGTAGGTCACCCTTTGCTTCGGGGAGGCAGGTTTGCGACGTTGGGTGGATTTGGAAGACGAAATCGGCCAGAGGATGTCAACGGTAGCTAGTAGCTTTGGAGGTTTGGGCCTGGCGCCTGAGAAGTTGGCGACAACCGCGTTGACAGGCCCACTTTGGCGGACGACCGAAGATTTTGAATCAAACGGAGAGGCCGTGGGTCCGTGGCTCCTTCTCTAATAGACCATAAGGTACTTACGTAGTAGTGGTTGGTGGTGGGGGAGATGAGGAACAGAGGGCCGTCCGTTGGAGAAGGGCACATCGGCGTTCGGCGCTCGCTCAAGGGAGTTTATGTCAGTAAAAAGTAACTACCTAGGTACTTGATGCAAATGTGGACGGCAAGTTGATGCGTGTCACAGGCAATACTGTACCACCACCAGACCCACCAGTACCTACCCGAAAGGTAATTTTCCTGTGTCCTGACTCCCATGTAGCTACTTAAGTAGGTACTTAACTTGAGGACCATGTAAGCAGCGTTATTTTGGCATGTTCCTCGCAAGTACTCCGTACCCTGTGCTTTGTACCGAGAACCGGGTAAGGTCCGGCTCAGATGCCTAGGTAGGTACCGCAAAGTAGTTAGTTACCTCATAATGACCAGGCGCCTGTCTGGGCTCCTAGAGTCGTAGTATTTAAAAATATCGGACAGACTGGGGGTGCTCTTGAGTCTTGATGCACTCTAACGCGTCGCAGCACGATTTTGATGAATGAAAAAGACTAGACGTCCGGGCCATTCTTGGAGCTGCAGCGGGCTAGCCGACCACTGTGCTCCGAGTCGCCAATGCCAAACTGAACTTGGGCGACATGGCGAGCGACTCCTTGGCCCGTGCGTTGTCTCACGTGGTACTCATCTTCCAGCACCTTCAGCTTCAAGCTGTCTCTTAGCGACCGAAGGTGCGCATCTCATTGCCAAATCGCTACAATCCCATCACCACTTGCTTGTTCGGTTTTATGTGGCCCCTCTCGCGGAGTCCCATGAGGCCTGGGGGAGGGGATTTTCAGAAACCTTGATGCTCCTGTCGCTAACTCGGACAGCCTGCCAACTTTCAACGCAGCCGTCGGGACCAGCAGAGCAGAGCCCGCCGCCTGCTTCTTGTCGAGCACTCGCGAGTTTAGACGCTGACCAGTCCGCGACGCCTGCATTGTAACCAACCACACCTTTGCCGCGACGTTGCTCTAGCTGGAACTCACTGCTTCATCGGAATTCCGACCGTCCGATTGCTGGATAGATTAATCTGGTCTCACTTGTACAGGTGTGCTCCGCGCAGAGCACTCGGGCCGTCATCACAGGACTTTCCTTTCCCCTCCAGTCGACAGCTCCCGCGTTTCCGTTGCGGATGATCTGCAATGTCAACGCCAGCTCCTGGCCAACATGGCCAGCCGGATGAGCCCCAATGCTACAACTGCGGCACTGTAGGCCATTGGGCTGTTGCTTGTCCCGAACCTACCAGAGAAACGCCTGCGTAAGTCTCACTCAATGGGCTATATACGAGCCCAACTGTTATACTCTTGCTCTTTTAATGACAGTCAAGTCTAACCGCAATCATAGGGGCCTTGCAGCATGGAGAAACTCATCCACGCCGAACCAAACCAATCCCAAAGGGCAAGGACCTGGTTCTATCAAACGATCAAAAGGACCTATTATTACCAAATATGGTCCTCCTCCGCCGCCGCCTCCACCGTCCTTTGCCCAAGGCATGAACCACATGCCACCACCGCCGCCGGGACATCACCACCATCCTCACCCTGTAACGTCATATCCAGGCCAAGCACCACCGTATCAAGCTTATGCTCCTGTTCCGCCTCCTGTTCCGCCTGCATATGGCGGTAATTTTCCACCTGCAGCCTACGGATACTCGCACCCTCCTCCGCCTCATCATCCTCATCATCATCATCCTCCGTTCCAGCCTCCGCCTCCTCATGGCGCATCTCACTTTGGCCCTCCCGGCTATATGGGTCCTCCGACTACTCTTGGGCCTCCTCCTGGTGGTCATTTCGCTGTCAACAGAGGCGATGGACTTGAAAATAGGGTGTCTGCCCACGACCAAGCCTTCTCGCAATCTCCCCCTCCACTCAAACCGTCGCCGCCCATGAATGCAACTCCGCCTCAGAACCGATCAGGACCCAGGCAAACCCCTGGACTAGCAAAACCACCTAATTTACCGTCAAAGCCGCCTGTAGGAGTGACATCTCATCCGCTCCCACCGAAGCCTCCCAAAAGCCATGATCAATCCATCCAGCAACATGATCACAGGAACAAGCGTAAAAACGAGCGCCACAACAAGAGTAGAGACAGGAGACAATCAAATGATCATTATAATCATCGCCACCCAAACCCCGGCTCCAATCACCATGGACATCCCAACCAATCTCCAGATAATCGGCGATTGAGTGGTTCACGGAAAGGCCAACGGCAACACCATGCCAATGTCAGCTCAAAGAGTCATACATCTCGTGCAAGCTCGTCCGATCAGCACGTTGCAGGCGCCAAAGGCACAAATAATGGCAGACGAGCCGCAAAGGATTTGGGACATCGAAGGCAATCTTCTGAGAACATCCCTCGATACCATGATGACAGCAGATCTGCGGCAAAGAAAACAAATAGGCCATTTGGCGCCAACAGCCAGGGCTCGAGCGTCGGAGTTGAAATGGCCGACAATAAAGGCAGTCCTCAGTTGAACAATTGTCAAGCTCGAAGTGACATATCAGATGGCTCAGAAAGACGGTCCTCATCAGACCATCGTGGAATCGGCGCTAAGCGCTTTCATCACCAGGACACTCATCCTCATGAGCGACAATACAAGCGGCCAAAGATAGACGCTTCTCCTAGAACTGAAACTAAGCCGTTGAAATCCGACGGCGAGGAAGAACACGAAGAAGAAGAATGTATTTGGGACAATATTGACGTACCGAGGGAGGCTGACCGAAGACAACAAGCCGAAAGGGACCGTTCTGGAGCAAAGAGACGTGCATCTACCGCTTCACGAGCCTCCTCCCAGTCTAGTCGATCCTCAGACTTGAATTCCTTGGAGGCGGAGCTTTTAGGAAGACCAGTCAAACAACAAAAGTCTCCAGAGAAATCAAGCACTCGTCATCGCCAGGACCACCAAGCAAAGCGTCGACCAGTAAATACCAACTCAGCTTATAGGTACGTAGTTGTCGTGGGGCTAATCATAAGGAGAGCCAATTCACTGACGTTTCCAGCCGTCGGTGGTGATGTTCTTGATTCACTCTACGCACACACACGCACACACACACACACACACACACATATATATATATATATATATATATATATATATGGATTCTGGCTTCTGGCTAGCTACGGATGCTAGTAAATTAGTAACATCGGCTCCTCAACGCCTTTGTTTTTGATGACGACAACGACTCTGTGCATGGTGTGGAGTTTTCATCTTTTGTTGCGCTTGTCGACTCTTCGTTCTCATTCGTTCAATCTCATGCGCAATGCCGAGTTTCACGGTTGCTTCGTATAAACCTCGATCCCTCGATACTTTCTAGTAAAGAGGTGGGCCGTGGTCGTGTGTTGGAAGAAGGAATTTCTGACACCGCCGAGTACCTAGCTCTTGGAGGCCTTGACGGTATACGCTTTCAATATGCGTGATTTCTAGGTTGCAGTGTTGATGGAAGCGTCCCAAAGCGCGACCCGGATGCACAACTAATATGCGGAATAGGCGCCTTTGACGGAGGGTTTCATTGCATCTCGGTTGGCCAGCATGCAACTTAGTTCGCACAATTTTGAATAGGCTAGGAATACGGAGCTAAGACAAAAGCTGGTTTACATTCAAAGTCTCCGTGTTTCAGCAATCGCAAAAACAAGCTCGTCGACGACTAGGTAACACGAGAAATTGATCAGGTGTTTTTCTGGGCAGACACTGCATATAATGTTTGGACATGACTTTAAGAGGTCTCATGTACGCCACGCCTTGGCTTTGCACGGTTCGAATGCAGGCAAGACACACTTAATCGCGGCCGAGTTCCATACGCTTCTTGAGGCGGAAAGCAATAGCTCGCTTACGAGCAGCGGGGGTCTGGGTGAAGGCAGCAGAACCGCCAAAGGGGCCGGCAGGAGTTTTATTGCGAACACGACAGATGCAGACGTTTTCAGCACCGCCGACTTTGGCGTCGCAGGTCATGCCTGGAGGCATCTGGACCTTGACATCGAACTCGGTGGTAGTAGCCGTGGAGATGCCGGCGAACAGACCGGGGACGTTCTGGATGACTTGGGCTTTTTGGAAGGCCTGGGGATCCTTGCCACCGGACGTGCCATCGCAGTCAGCGGTGAGGGGACCGGCACCGTCCTGGTTGACCTATATCTGTGTCAACAACGCACGCGGTTTGAGTGGTTTAGTCGTGCGGTGGTCAGGTAGAGGCAGGCTTTCGGGGCGGATGATGGGATGATGAGGAGGAGAAGGAGGAGGAGGAGGCGGCGGATGCGTACCTGTAGGTATTTCATCGTCAACACACCGTTATTATCAGCCGTGGGAAGGCCCTTGGAAGCTCCCGAGCCAGCGGTGTCAGCAACCATGCTCTCGGGAGCAGCATTTCTCTGCTTGGTGCCGGCAGCACCACGGGCAGCACCACCTCCGAGCAACCCTCCAAGACCGCCAGCACCAGCATCACCTTCGAGTAACCCTCCAAGACCGCCTGCGCCGCCCGAGAGCTGACCGAGCTGACCGAGCTGACCGAGTTGGCCAAGCTGTCTCTTGGACTTCTCGCGGCGCTGCCGACGCGGCTGATTCTGAAGTGCAGAGAGGTCATCTTCCTTGCCGACAGCACCGGAAGCACCCTTGTTAGTAGGCACCTTCCCGGCGTCGGCGCCGCCAGCACCCATGAAGGCGCTGATCTTGACGGCGGCATCAATATTACCAGCGCCCTGTGTTCGTCCAAGGGGACCGACTTTACCGCTTCTGATTTCGTTATCTCGAATGATGCACGTGTCGGCTTGTGAGCCACAGGCATTACTGGAGCAATCACGAGGAGTGCCATCGGCAACTATGTTTTCAATCTTCCGCGTTGGTCATTTTGCCCATGGTGTACAAGCACTCCGAACGGACGACGCGTGCAAGTAGAAGTGCCGACATACCGCATATACCTGGCATCTCGACACCGTTCGCGCCCACGACCTTGGTTACTGTTCCATGGGCAGAAGTGGAAGCTGCAAGAGCCGCCGACATGATGAGAATGCAACGCATATCGGTTGTTCCAAGGGCCAGGCCGGGGAAAATCAGAGCAGATTGTGACGTAATGGTGGTCCGGCACCGGTATTAAACAAGAAGGCAAGGGCAAAGAGAGAAAGAATACGGCCACCAGGGCAAAGCACAACCCAAGCAAGAGAATTGTTGAGGCGTCAAGGTGAAGAAAAGAAGAGATGTTTTGCAACGCCAAGAGCTGAAGACGAGGAGTGACACGTTCAGACGTGCGGCGACGCGGCAAGGTCATATATATGCAATATCTCGGGAGATGTTCGAAAACCACATGATGACACAAGTAAACAGACAGATGCCATGAGACTGGGAGAGAGATTGAGCCCTCCCTTCCATGTAAGGCCCTCCGACGTGTTGGGATTCACATTGCCTCCTTCCCGTGCTTGAGAAATTTTCCGAGACAGTCAAGGCAAGAGGGTCGAAGTAGAAGTCTGGAACGCAGACGTGGTGTTACGTCGGGAAGAGATCCAGGCTGGTGGCTTTGGGAAGAGTCTCCCCCCCGCCCCCCCAAACGACAGGCATCCTGCTTGCCGCTCCGTCGGAATTGCTTCCCGTCTGGCAGGTGAATCTGAGGAGAGGAAGACGGAGAAGAAGAGGGCCAAGTGCGGGCGAGCCAGCCGCCGATCTGTGGTTGCAGATTCACCGGCGAGACCGAGGACGTCATTCTTTTGTCGCAGGCAAATCCAAAACGTGAACGAGCCCCGTGGACGCTCCCATGGTTCGATGCGGATTGCCTCTTCTTGTTAGGAGTCGGACCGTCGGCGTCATCATGGGCACTGGCGGCAGCTAAATGCGCATATGCCAAATAAATGCGCATATACTGCTCGTCGAATTACCTGGACGCCACACTCTATGAATTGGAGGCATTGATGGGAAGCCCTGTACGAAATGCGTCTGTATGAAAACGATCCCTCATCGTTGCGCCACGTAATAAAAGGGGCTTTGATGTTTTGTAGCGACGCATTTGCCCATTTTCAGTGCTGTATGCGCGTTTAGCTGCGCTGTGCTGACCTTGACTCCTTCGGTTCGTCCCCCCTTTTCGAATCATGCACGGCCGGTGCCGTGTGGCGGGGAGAAACTTGAAATCTTCCGGACCAGATTCACGCGGCTCTGGTTGTCTCCGCTCTGAAACAAGTCGCATCCCGTCCCGTCGTGGCTTGCGGGATTCGCGACAGACACTGCGCCAGAAGGACGCGAGCTTCGTTCGGGTTATGATGATCCGGGAATAGCGCCCAGGACGGGGGTCGTCATCGGGCTCGCTCGCTGCACATGTGGCGGTTGGAAGATGGGCGAGACTGTCTACTACGTACTACGTTTGCTGTTTGCACTGTTCGACGCATTTAACTGAGCCTCAGTGGACCAGACCATCATGACTTATCATGTCGGAATGGCGGAGACATTCGAGATAGGGGGGAAAGGGGGGAGTGCCTCGGGGTTGACAAACACGGAGTATACTGGATCCGACGATGTCATCACATGAAACGTGGCGTGCAATAAAATGAACAAAAAAAAAGGCTCATCGTTGACTGTGCTTGAATCGACTCCTACTATGCCGTGATGAACAGCCATCTCAATGGAAACCGCTATACACGCTGCTGGGTCCCGATCCCCCCTTCGCTGTACTGACACACTCTTGTCCTCGTTGAAATTCGTAAAACGGACTAGGAAGAAGTTGTAAGGGGGAGAAATATATGACTTGGACATGCCTCATTGGGCATGGGAAAGAAATTCGGGCAACTGAAGAGTTCTAGAAGTAATGACAAGAAATAGATAACAGACCGGTAAAATAGACCATCTAGTCGCTGCAATGGAGTTGTGCCCGCCATGGGCGATAACTAGCCTCCTCCGTCAAAAGCCGGCCGTCCCTCTCGACTTGGTACCAGGTTCGCCCTACACAATCAAGTAACCCAGGTTCCCTTCTTTTAGCTTCTGGAGCCAGTTTACCGCAGATCCAGGGCCGTGGCTCTGCATGTCCCAAATGACATTCAACATCCGGATGGCGGCGAAGATGTAGCCCCATGGGCAAATATGCCAGATGGCAAGCATGCGTGTCAAGATCCACGTCCTCGTCTCGCCATCTCGCGTCTCCGCACCTGCGATGAATGTAGGCCACGACGTGGCCTTGAAGTACGGGTCTCCATCATGAATCTGGGAGAGGTGGCTGAGGATGTCGCTCACGAGAAAGTTGGCGTCGACGCCGTGGACGGCGCGCACTGGCGGCAATGCCTGGAGAATATGCAGACACACTGCCGAACGATGTGCCGAGGCGACGTGGATTCGACTGTCGATGTCAGTCACGTTGGGAAGCCCCCGAAGCTGGTCCGCCCACGCGGCAATGTCAAATGCAAGCGCTTCATTGATGAGTGCGAGCGCCGTGTCTATGGCCTTGGGGTTGCAGTCAGCGCAAGGGTCCTCCCGTGAAAGCTGGGACGCGAAGAGGATGATTCTGAGAATCTCTGGCGGACACGAGAGATAACTGTTCACCTCGACTCGTTTCATTATGTGCAATAACTCGAATGCATATTGAGTTATGCGCGAGGCCCCTGCTGTATCCGCAAGGGTTGATCCCAGAGTGTGATATCTGTCATCGTCTTAGCGTTCCATGCGTGTGTCTTCTTAAATGAAGGGTTGGCGGAAGAACGCTAGAGAGAATGAATACTCACATGAAGCAATCGGCAATGACACAATCACGCAACATGCGGCTTGAAGCATGCCCTGAGGAATCCGACGCCAACAATCCCAAGATGCGGCTTGCCGCTTGGAGATGGGCCCGCCAATCTGTCACCCCCTGCTCTCTCTCTTCTTGGGGATTATTTCCAATTGCAACTCTTCGTTCAAAATCAATCAACTCAAACTTGACAAAGAAATGCATAGCAGCAAGAGTCACCTCGTTGCCAGCTGGATCCAAGGAACTGATGGCTCGGCGAAGATGCTTTATCGCTTTCTGCTTGGCCGTCAGGGCATCTATGAGTGCTCGCCTAGTTCCGGAATCCTGAGACCGCAGTTGAGCAACATAGTCGCCCGGATTAGTCAAACCGGTTGGAATAGGAATAGAAGGAATAGTCCAGGAGATATTAGACCAGTGAATGGCAGACGTTGCTATGAGCACGTAAAGGAGCAGCGGATGCTTGTTGGTCAGAGGAATAAGTTCTCGGAATGGATTGCTGTTGGGTGAGTCTCTCGGCACCAAGTCTTGACAAACGCGGTTGGTGACTGGTCATTTGGTTGCATTAGCGTCGCCTCGAACCAGGTCACCGAAGAGTCAGGCTCGACAGGATGAAGACTGTGTGCCATGAGAGATGAGGAGATGTGACGGGTCGAAGAGTGTCGCATGATAGACACACAAAGGCGTTGTAGAGGAAGCACGGTCATAAAACCTCACACAGGATGGCAGTCGAAAGACGGGAGAAGGTGAAGGGGGGTATGACGGCAAAAGTAATAAGAGTAATATGCTCGTTCTGACTCACAGTGTGCAAGATAACTTCTTGAACTTGGATCTAGGTCCTGAAAGACGGGGTCTGTCAGACTTCTACCACCAAAACATCCGGTCTTGGTAGGCACATGGACCCGATGGTCCGGAGTCGGCACGTTGGCGATGCTCCCGTCGCGGTCCGTGGCTGCTGTTTCGCCCATGCCGTCTCTATCCCCCCCCGACACCGCATCACGCGGAGCCAACGGTGGTTGCTGGTATTGCCCGCTGTACAGTGGTTCATCGCGACCACGCTCAGAGTAGGTGACCTGTACATTGTGAATCTGACCAAGGTCGCGGCCTCCAGCTCCCGCAGCGGCCCAACTTACGGCAACATCTCTCCGCCTCCCTCCCAGCTTGGGGGCAGCTTGAGGTTGACATGCCCCAGTCTTGCTTGGCCGACGTCCGGAGGGCGGCGAGGGCCTTGGGTTTCCCTGAGAATCAATCGCCTGCATCCAGACGAATACTTTGCCATAACCAGAACACTCCTGACCCGACAACGCGCATTTGTGGCATGTTGGCCACGAGCGATCACAGCGCAGGCGTCGGCGGCGACAGTTGTGACACGGCTTGATGGTACTGTTGTTGGGCATCCGCTGCTGTTGAATTTGCTGCCTCGGCCCGGGTCTCGGCCGGGACTGGTTGGTATTATATGTATGAGACCAGAAATCGCAATTCTGGTAAGGGAACGAAGGGGGGCCGAGCAGCCAGTATATTCCTCCGAGCTGATTGCTTCAGCCGGCGAGTTGATGATGTTGATGACTGTACCTGGCTGAGCCAGCCTAGGACGATGCCAGAACCGCAGCGGGGAGTTTGGAATGATGGGTGGTTCAGGCAGCAGGGCTGCAGTTCACTTGGTCTCGCAGGTCATGATGATGGTAGTCACCGTCGGTCTGGAGCTGACGGGACGAGAAGAAACAGCGGACTTGTGCTGCCACGCTGCTCTTATTAACTGATGAGCCTTGATGTCGCGGCTGCGGTGGGGGAGCAAATGGGTGGTGGCTTCAACCATGTGAGCAAGATTGATTGACGGAGGCCATGCCGACGACCATGACGACCAGGGTGAGGCATGAGGCCGCAATTGATCTGGCCCACCACATAGATTGCAATCTCTCCCACGCAGGCCAATTGATCCATCCGCCTCTGGTGTCCCCCAACATGGCCCGAGGAGAACAAACGAATCATATGTGCCGGTGTCTGGCGAGACCTGCATCGGTAGCCTACAAATAATGCCGAAAACGGGAAAGGGTGAGTAAGTGCACGCTGGATCGCCGCCTGGGGAAGAAGTGAGCCCGCATCGACGGCTGCGGAGGTGTGGTCCTGAGCTGTTATATCCAACGAGGCGCATCGCGGCGAAGGTACTCCGTACAGGGTGAAATGGAGTCTCTCGTCGGCAACAATAACAGCAGGGATGTGGACTCAGCGGAGGCTCTTCATGCATGATTCGAGATGGTCAGTAGTCGGAAGCGGGCCAAGAAGCCCCCGGCAGGCATCATGTCCTTTTGCAGGTCGTTTCTCTGCATGTTGATAATTGAGAACATTGATAAGGCGCCCGCATGTACCTAGCTCAGCGCTGAGTCGGCTCCCAACACGGCATTTCGCTCTAGAAAGAGCTCGTTCCTGCTCGAGTGAGCATTGCATCTTTGCTTCTTTCTACTCCATCACCTCCGCAAGGTGGGGCGCAATGAAGCTGGAGATGTCGTCACGGGACCATGAGATGGACTCTTGGAACGGAAGCTGTTCGCGATGTCTAGTCAGGATCACACCGCCAACGCAGTGCGCGGTGCGCAGTGACTCCGCCCTCGAGGCATTGTGATAATGAGGCTGTCGTCCATGATGGTTGATTCCTCTCCCCCCAACAAAGACTCCATCTTTTTGCTAAAAGACAGACAACGTACGGACTGGGGTCGCACAAGGAATGAACCCGGTGCGACAGCCGACCTGGACGGTGCAGCCCGTCATGCATGGCTTCTCTTTGAACATCGTGGCTGGTGGCATTGCACGCAAACGACGGAATATGATACCGGAAAGTGGACATCTTTGGTCAAGGTGCGGTGCCTGCGCATGGCGGACAAGGTTGGTGGATGCTGTACTCCCTAATATATTAGTATACGCTTTGCAATGGGGAAATGTCTTCCAGTAGAGGCTCCTACTACTAGAATGCGAACCTGGTGATGCATCGGGCCCCGTCCCTTGCAAAGAATTTGTCAAGACAAGCGCCCGGGTCGCATGCCGAAACTGGCACAAGTCCGTGATGCAAAGGATGCATGGGGGGGGCAATGATCGAAGTGGTTGCACCACACCAGGCGTTTCACAAGAAATGACAAGGACAAAAAAGTTGAGTGAAGCAGAAAGTCTGCAAGGGATAACGGTTGGGAGTGAATGCTAAAACTGTCACGGTGTGTTCTTATTGGACTTCGGCGTGAAAGTTCCAGACTCAAGGGCCGGCCACTGTTCCAGCGAGCTTTGCGTATAGCCTTCATAGTTTTTAATAAAGACGCATTTGGCCACGCTAGAAGCCCCGTTGGCTCAGTGGTAAAGCGTGTCACTAGTAATGACAAGATCACTGGTTCGATTCCAGTACGGGGCAAGTACCTAACCTGTTATTTTTTGGCCCGAGTACGTCATTATATTACGCTCTCTCTCTCCGTCCGGATGGTGTGCATCATATCGTCCGTCCAGTTTTTTTTTTTTTTTTTTTTTAGCATGCAATTGGAGGTCTCCCAAGGCTAGTTTAATTGCCTTTTAGTCGTCTAGACGCGTCCTTCAACAAGCCTGTCGACAAGGTGACTGCTCCCTCGCTACAGGCCCATCGCTCGATGTCCTCCATCTTTTCTCGACATAGCAGTCACCTTCTCCTCGTCATATCCGTCGCTTGTACGATCATATGCAAGTTGCAAATCATCAATCGCGTCCCCGACCTCCAACCACTTTTCACTTGTTTCTGGTAATGGGGCCATTTTGCAGAGACTCCAGTACGTCAAGGATGACACAACGAAACCGCAGAAAAAGTTGAGGTTGTATATGTATGTCGCCCCTTTGGGCACCTGTTGACCTACGGCGCCGGCGAATCCAACGACATTGATGAGGATTCCAGCAAAATACGCAGTGTAACCCCGCCAATTTACACCGAATGTGTAAAAGTACGGGCCGGTCTTGCGTGCGTCGTACATTTCCTTGACGTTCAAATAGCCTTTCCTGACAATGTAGTAGTCGGTGGACATGACGCCAGCAATGGAGCTGAGGAAAACGCTATATGCTGAAAGATAGGTGGTGAAGTTGTTGGCGCTGGTTAGCAAGTTGTACGGGCACATAACCAAACCAACGGCCGCGCATATGTATCCACCGCGTCGAATGTTGATAAATCGGGGAAGTAGAGCCGTCATGTCAGAGCCTGCAGAGATGGAGTTGGCCGAAATGTTGGTACCGAGCTGGGCAACGGCAAACGCCAACGATATAACAAAGACACCGAATCGCTGCGCTGCACCGCCATCATCTATAAAGTTGCCCAACAGACTCAGAGGGTTCCAGATCGGCTGATTGTAGATGACACTCGATGACGATGACACGAAGATGCCAATCAGAGACGTAGAGGCAAATCCGATTGGGATTGCAAATAACTGAGACCACAGAGCATCATTTGGCTTACGAGCAAATCTCGTGAAGTCGCAGTCATTAATGATGAGAGTGGCAAAATTGGCAATGGAAGACATGATGCCTTTGACGATTGCCCAAGCCAAGTCGCCGCCATGTATCATGTTCGGCTTTTGAACAATTGGCCCGACGCCCCCTGCACGCACAAGAGCCCAGATCAAGAAGGCGATGCCCGCCGGTGGGACAAAATATGCCTTGACGGTAAATAGGTGTCGAATCTTGTGGACAGGAAACCAGATGGCAGGGAGGGAACACAACCAGAAAATGAAGAATGATACAAAGTCTGCTGTGCTCGACACACCCCCGTCGAAAGGACCAGGCATCTTGGCGCGATCCCATGATGTCCAGATTGAACGAATCATCAGGTACACACAGTTGCCTCCGATATAGGCTTGAACTCCATACCAGATGCATGCTGCACAATATTTTCCGGTCAGTGCAAGGCTCCAGTTATGATTGCGTCGGACAGGCCTGTCGAGTCACCGACACTTACCCATGGCGGCACGATTGAAGATTGGCCATAAACTCCCCCAAATGCCAAAGGATGCTCGACTCGCAACGGGAAAACCAATGTGATACACGGCTCCGATGCGAACATTCATGACTATGAAGCAGGCTGAAATCGAATAGCCCACCCAAACACAAATCCAGGCCTGCCACCAAGAGAGTCCCCCGATTACCATTGACGACGAGATCATCCAGGTGTTGATGTTGTACGAATCAGCAATCCAGAATCCCACGTAATTCCAGGGGCCCCATTGTCGACGAGCCTTCTCGACGGGTTTCAAGTCATGGTTTATGAGCTAAGCGCTCCGCAAGGCAAATATTGTTAGGGTGACTGAACCACCAAGAGAAGACGCCGAGGAGAAAACATTGTGCATACCATACGTTGGGACGACGTTAGCCCATCCTCAGACTCAACTGCGAGTGTATCCGCCACGCTCTTCAGCTGTTGAGAAAGCGGCATGTCGTCTGAGGGTTCAGTTCAGGCAGTCAACAACAACAACAACAACAACAACAACTGATTGAGGCGTTCTTCCTTCTCATAGGTCGCTTGAAAGTTGCGACCGCGAAGGGGCCTCGGGGGGGTTTCCGGGGACAAGGGAGGGAGGCCTAGTTACACGAGGTCTTGCGACATGCAAAAGATCGAGGACCGTCAACAGTATGCAACAGTGCGATGAACTGAGACCATGGGCAGTCAAGAGAGATGTCGGTTCTGAACGCCGTCGAAATCGGCGCCTTGACAAACTGACCAAGAGCTGGCTGGGACGTCGAAGGTATTGTAGAGACTCGAGAGTCGAGAGTCTGGAATCTGGATAAGCAAGCAGGTCTTATCTGCACGGCCCAGCCAACCAGCCTAGCGGCGTTTACGGAGGCTGGAGAACCCTATTCATGTGTCTCAGACTAGCATTCCCATCGGCACGTGGCCGAAGGAGTAAATGTGTGTGATTTGGCTGTCTCTGCGACCTGATGAGTACCAGCCCTGACTGAGCGCGTCTTAGCCGTGACTACTTCTCGCATATCAGGCTCAAGATACACGACCAACATTCTCTGTCATGGTCGTGGTTTGCGCGCGGATAGCGGACTGGCCAGAGGTGATGCTTGTCGAGTTCAATTTGCTAGGGCTCGGCGGTGGTTTCAAATTTCGACGGCTCCCGCCGTCGTACCAATGTGGACACTGGACGATAACCACGGAGTAGATAGCGGACTGACTACCTAGATAGGCCCATCATCGCCCTGCCCGTGATAGATGATAGATTATCTCTGAAAAGCTTGCTTGGACGGCACAACCCACCATTGCCTGTGGCGATCATCTTGCGCCTGGGTCCATTGGCTACAGATACCCGGGTTTTGGTAATTTGGATTCTGGATTCTGCTTCGTGTTGACGCTAGCGGTGTCGTGCCATCAACCACCTACTTAAGTAAGTAACTAAGCAGGTGCATGGAGGTTGTTCGGATAGGCCGCGTTCGCTGGGGCAGGCAAACCGTATTTGATCTCCGTTTTGCGGAGCCAGGCCACGGGCAGTATGTATCCCGATTCTCTGGCTTTGTCATGTAATGCGACTTGCTCAATTAGAAGGAATGGGGCAGTATGTTGTTTGGTAACAGAAAGACTGTTTTTTGTATTGATGGTGAATGCTCCTGAATTGGCATCATTTCGGAAAATGGTGTTGATTTGCACGTTGGCGGAAGAAATACGAGACGTGCTCTAGGGTAAGAGCACTGCTACAAAGCCACTTTCTATGCACGCTACCTGTTCCTAAGTACTCACTACTTTGAGAACTTGAGTACTTACTTCAGTACTCCGTACTCAAGTATCAAGCAGGTACAGTAGGTTAAGTACCTAGGTAGGCAGGTAGTTGGTGGATACCGAATAGTGCGCAAAGGGGTTTTCTGCTAACCATATCCAGCCTTATTCACCATAACAAGACAAAGGTAATGATATTTTCCTACCAGCTCATAGTGTGTCATTTTTTCCGCAGTAATTTGCACATGCCATGTAATGTGCTTGAAAGCAGCATGTAACTACCGTAGGTGCCGTACGTACGTGTACAATTTGTTCAATTCACCTGGACCCACTTGTTCCGCCCACGACATTGACAAAAGTCTGCCCCGCGGTCTGTCACCGCCGCCTCGACCATCTCGCAAGACATTGATGTTTCTCTGCCTGTCGTGCAGACACAGACAGCCCGTGCGGATTATTGACTTTTACCACCTACTTAGACGGCATTCTCCTCCATCGGCGGCCGCCAGATCGCTCTACACCACCATGGAGCAGCAGCTCGTGCCGCTCCTCACCAACATCCAGCTGCCGGACCAGGCGCCCCGACAACAGGCTGAGATCGAGCTGAAGCGTGCCCAGGCGAACCCTGCGTTTCCCGTGTCACTGGCCAAGATTGCGTCTCACTCCTCCATCAGCACTGGTGTCCGTCAGGCTGCCTTGAGCACCCTGAGGCAGTTCATTGAGAACAATTGGGCTGTTGGAAATCCGGACCAAGAGACCATAATTCCCATTGACGATGACACGAGAGCTATTCTGAGGCAGTCTCTCCTTGATTTGGCCCTGAGCCAAGACGAGGATCGAAAGGTGAAGATTTCGGCAAGGTACGTTCCTACCACTTTCCCCTCGTGGCCAGGTGCGGCCGCCTTTTCACCTCCTTGCTTGACAGAAAAGAACACGCGGGCAACTAACTGCTGGCGCCACTAGTTATGCAGTCGGCAAGATCGCCATACACGACTTCCCCGAACAATGGCCCAGCTTACTGCCTACCGTTCTGAATACCATTCCAGCTGGTACCGATACCCAGCTCCACGGAGCTCTGAGGGTCCTCGCCGACCTCGTCGATGAGAGCCTGAGCGAGGATCAATTTTTTTCCATGGCTCGAGATATTGCCAAGATCCTGACAGAGGTCGCCCTCAATGAGAACCGAAAACCCATGCTCCGAGCACTCGCCATATCTGTCTTCCGATCCTGCTTCGATTTGATGAACATGGTCAAGGAGGAGCACTCCCACGAAGTCAAGGCATTCGCTGAAGAGTTGCTTGCCCAGTGGAACCCATTTTTTGCCAATGTACTCAAGAGCCGTCTACCAGAGGGTGGCGTGACTACTGGTCCCCAGCCTGGTAGCTGGAATCACATTGTTGCCCTCAAGCTACAGGTCGTCAAGACGCTGCTCCGCATTCGCAGAGTCTTCCCCAACCTACTGCTGCCCCAGAGCACCACCTTTTTCAGTGCCGTTTGGGAGGAGCTGAACCTCTTGCAGACACCATATGAAGAGCTCTACATCAAAACCAACGCCCAGAGCCGCCTTGTGGACTCTGATAACCTTCCCTATACTTTGGACTTCCTGGTCCTGGAAGAACTTGACTTCCTGAACCAGTGCTTCCGCTCTCCCCCGGTCAAAGCAGAGTTGGATGGCCACTTGCAAGCTCATGCCTCCGCCCAGGACGTGCCCTGGATGGTTGAGATTATGAGAATGCTGGTCAGCTACTCTCGCGTCACCCAAGAGGAGGAGGAACTGTGGGACATTGATTGCTCCTTGTACCTGGCTGAAGAGACGTCAGTTACGGCAAACTACACCGCCAGAACTGCTGCCGGTGACTTGTTAATCAAGATGGGAGAGTGGTTCAATGAAAAGGCCGTTGATGGTCTGTTTGGCTTTACTACGTCCCTGTTCCCAGGCGATGGATCCATGTGGAGATGTCAGGAATCCGCTCTTTCCCTCTTTACGATGCTCCTGAGCGACTTTCAAGATCTTAATAAGACTATCCCTGATCCTGTTGCCAGTGCCTATCTCGAGTTGGTCGATTTCACCATCAATAAACCCGATGAGCCTCTACTTCGCGCTCGAGGTTATCTCGTCGCGGGCATCATTGGCCGCTCTTTCCAAACCCCTCCAGCTCTCTTGGATCGCATGGTCCATGCCATCACGAATGAAGAGTCAGAAGTTGTCCAGGTTGCCTGTATCAAGGCTGTCGAAGGCTTGATTCACTCCGGTCGAGTAGGCACCGATCGCCAGGTGCCGATCGTTACCGCTATCCAATCCTACATGAACGAGAAGGACCCAGCTGAGATGGAAGAAGCGGACGAACTTCTTGTTGTCCTCGCGGAGGCGCTTCGTGCGACTATCGGTCTGGATCCCAAAATAGCGCTCTCAAGCGACATTCAATCCACGGACCTGCTGTTCATGCTTGCCAAGCTTGGCGCCAGCAACTTCCAAGTCACCATGATCATTACTGAGGCCTTTGAGGATATTGTCAGCGCCCTCTCAGACAGTGCCTCATTCGGCGCCCTTTGCGCTCGCACGCTGCCTACGCTCACCGGTGCCTTCGATGTTGCTAATGTGACAGAAGACAACCCTCTTGTTACAGTGGCCACCGAACTACTGGTTGTCCTCGCCGAAAATGGTTCGGAGCCACTCCCCACCGGCTTTGTTGCCACCATCTTCCCCAAGTTGAACCGTCTTTTGATGGAGTCGGAGGAAGGCGAGGTCCTACGACCTGGCTCTGAAATCGTCAAGTGGGTTCTTTCCCACGATCATCAGCAGGTTTTTAACTGGCAAGATGCAAATGGCCGATCTGGACTCGAGGTGTGCTTGCACATTATTGACCGTTTACTTGGCCCATCTATAGAGGATAACTCTGCATCAGAAGTAGGTGGACTGGCGGCAGAACTCGTTGAGAAAGCGGGACAAGAACGTCTTGGTCCGTTCTTGCCTCAACTTTTGCAGGCTGTCGCGAATCGACTTGCTTCAGCCCAGGCTGCTGCTTTCATACAGTCTTTGATCTTGGTCTTTGCCAGGCTTTCTCTCAATGGCGCTCAAGACGTCGTCGAGTTCCTGAGCCAGATCCAGATTCAGGGGGATAGCGGACTGCAGATTGTTATGGCAAAGTGGCTCGAAAACTCGGTTAGCTTCGCAGGCTACGATGAAATCAGGCAAAAGTACGAGGACTATTCACGCTACTGGATTGACTTGGTCACATGATACTGACATTCATCTAGCGTCATTGCTCTTTCGAAACTCTATGCGCTGAATGACTCCCGTCTTGCTCAGATCCAAGTAAAGGGTGACTTGATTCTTAGCGCTGATGACGGCAAGATCAAGACTCGGTCGCGGGCGAAGCAGAGTAAGTGTCCCGTCTCACATCTTTCACGGTTGATTCATCTGCCTCGAGGGACTGACTAACCGCGCGGCGTTAACTAGACCCCGACCAGTACACAATCATCCCTGCCCCCCTAAAGATCGTGAAGGTTTTGATCGAAGAGCTTGCATCCGCCGCTGGCGCAGGTGCGGCCGCCAGTGCTGCAGCGGCCGCCGTTGCCGCCGCCGAGTTTGACGAAGACAATGACGAAGACGGCTGGGAAGACGACGACGATACCCTTGACCTCAGCTTAGCTGGTACCAAGGCTGATCTCATGTCCTTCATGGACGGCGGACCCCTGCGGCGACCAGACGATGAGACTCATATGTATCTCACAGAATTTTTTGTCCGATGCGGCCGTGAAAATATTGCCAATTTCCAGGAGTGGTACAACCTGCTTACTCAAGACGAAAAGACTAGGCTTAACCAAGTTGCCAACTCTGGGGCCTGAATTAGCAAGGTAGCTCAGCGATGAGGAAGAAAGAAGAATGAGGAAAGATGACGACGATACACTTGAGCACTTGTGATGGTTGTTCTTACGACGACGGCTGAGACGCATTACGACTTGCTTCCTGTCCCTGTCGGCAATTAAATGATACAATCGCGGAGATGAGAGCGGCTGAATTTCTGTATTCGTCAAAGGTTTGAGAAGGCAAACAAACATAGATGGCGTAGCGCAAGGACAGATTCTTGAGATGCGAAAAGTATATATTAATGACATCACCACCGCCCCCACAGCGTTGGGCCGTTCACAAATTACCGGCAAAGCATTTTCCATGTTTCGTGAATCATAGTAATCATTAGTTATTCGTCACGCTACTGGAGGCATATATCAACCTTATCTTACAGTGTTCCAAGTCTCTCAGTACCGTTTGGTGACGAGATAATCACTACTGGGGAAATGATACAAATTACTCATCCCGTACCCTTGCTTGTTTCCGATCGGGTCAGTCTGTCTCAGATGATATGTCCTCCGCCAACGCCGCCACCAAAACCTCCAGATCCGCCAAAGGAGCGGTTGCCGCCCCCCCGGCCTGGACCAGGAAATCTTGGCGTCCCGCCCGGTCCAACGGGATCCCATCGCGCACCAGGGGGAGCCTGTGGATCATAGCCTCCATAACCTCCATTGCCGCCTTGTCCGGTAAACAGAGGGTCGTCAAAGGTTGGATGCATGCCACCGGGTGCTCCTGGATGTGGCAGGCCACCTGGGACAAACGAGCCCCGAAGAGGATCATGAGGCCCCAGGCCCGGAGGATTCAAGTCGTCGTGACCGATATTGAGTGGATGGCGGCCGCCAGGCATGGCTATCGGGTTGATGCGAGGTGGCCGATTCATCTCGTATTCATCTTCGAATCCAGGTGGCAGGAAGTCACCCACTGGAGCGCCGGGCCGGGGCCGGGCCATCTCGGGAAGGTGCCCTGGAGGGTCATACGGGATATTGGGCTCTACAGAGGGATTGAAAGGACGTTGGGAGTTCCGCCGTTCCTGGTCCCGGCGTTCTGAACGAGCTGTTTGCTCGGCATCTTCTGTTTCGACGTAGCCTTCGCTTTGAAGTCTTGGGATGAGTTTCTGGACAATCTCGACCTTGAGATCATTCAGTAAGCCTAAGGTGGAAGTTCTTGTCAGCATGCTGCTCCGTGACGCAAATAAGGTCTTTGCGTCAAGCAGTACGGGCATCGCTAATCAGCGTACCGGAAATTGCCTCTTCCGAAACAAAGACGCTTCGCAGCTTCTCGACCAAGTCGGAGCGGTCTTCTTGTCCTTCAACCATGGTTATCCGTACAGGGAGGGCACTCGAGTTGACGATGTCGCGCACGGTGCGCTCGAAGCGGTGGATGTTCTCGTCGCCAACAGCCAGGCCTCGGACTTCGACTTTGGCCCCCATTCGGTCGATGCGGAAGACAAAGTCCATGGAGGATTGCTTGTGCTTGTAGATGAAGCTAAGGGAGCTGAAGCCAGCGTTCCATTTTGGCGGGAGGCGAGGCGCAAGGGACTCGCAGTCGGCTACGCGCGGGCAACCGTGTTGGTTAGTGGACATTGACGCAGCGATGCTGGCGGGCGGGGTGGCGGGTGGTGGATGCTTGCACCTACGCATTGGCTTATCCTGGTCAAAGCCGCAGAGTCGGAACTTGAGAGCGGCCAGGTATGCATGGACGAGCAGGGCGATGGCCTCGTAGGAGCTGGCCAGGTCGGAGCTCTCGTCGGCTTGTTGGTGTGTTGGCAAGGCGTCGGCCATGCCCTGCAGCACAGCCGAGGTACCGAGTACCGACGTCATGACGATGGGTGGCCGTGGGAGGACTTTTGATGAAATGGTATGTGAACAGCTCTGGGCAACAGGCCGGGTGTTGAGAATTGATGTAGAAAGGGAGAGTATGGGAGAGGCGGGCGTGATGCCAGGTTGGAAGTTGGAGCTTGGAGGGAGGGGCCAAGAAGATTGGTGGGGAAGGCACGATGGCGAATGCATGGCATGGGCAAGAGATGCTCAGCCCTACAAGTGGAGACCAGTTGAGCGTCACTCTTGATCCAACGTCATAGGTACTTGAGTACCTAGTTACGTCCAAGACTTGACCTGTCTCCCTATGTACTTACGTCCTACTGCGATCGTGTGGTTACTTCGTGCATAAGTACATAATACCTGATTCCATGCTCCCGTACGCAGTACGCAGTACATGAAACATGAAGATGTGATATGATGATTTCCTCTACCCGCTAGTTGCAAGGGAATGCCACGAGCACACTGCATAGCAGAGCATGAGACAAGTGCACGAGGGCTTCATCTAAATCTTGAGCTATCCAAGCGGGCATGTTTATCCCGCTCACTTGCATACGCAGAGGAAAAGGCATGCATGTTGATATGATGCGATGCATTCAAGGAATTTAAGAGATGTGTATGTCTAAAGCTTTTGGTCTCATGATGTAAACAGATGTTTATCGACGGGCGCACTCTCGGACGAAAGCTTCCCCCTTGAACCACTTCGACAGACTGGGGCTGCAAGACCTTTGCCCTTTGGAACTAAATGAAACAACACCACTGAAACTCCCGACGACCAAGCCTCGAGAGAGTTGCACCTCCTAAATTCTTATGGGATCACTTTGCACCGCTGGCTGCGGCTTTCGGTGCAGCTTCAGGTGCTTGTGGAGGACTGGAGTTGACTGGGTTAGGAGGGTTAGGAGCAGCAGGGGCGTTGTCGGCTTTGGAGTTGCCGGTCCCGGCTTTGCTGGGTTGAGAGTCTGCAGGAGCTGATGCGTTGGGCTTTCCCTGGGAGTCTGCCTTGGGGCTGGGCTGAGAGTTTGCTTGGGAGTTTGCATTGGCGCTGGGTTGAGCGGATGCGCCGGGCTGAGAGTTGACCTTTGCATTGGCGCTGGGTTGAGCGGATGCGCCGGGCTGAGAGTTGACCTTTGCCTTGGAGCTGGGTTGAGCTGATGCGCCGGGCTGAGAGTTTGCTTGAGAGTTTGCCTGGGAACTGGGTCGAGCTGATGCGCTGGGCTGAGAGTTTGCTTGGGAGTTGGCCTTGGAGCTGGGTTGAGCTGATGCGCTGGGCTGAGAGTTTGCTTGGGAGTTGGCCTTAGAGCTGGGTTGAGCTGATGCGCTGGGCTGAGAGTTTGCTTGAGAATTTGCCTGGGAACTGGGTCGAGCTGATGCGCTGGGCTGAGAGTTTGCTTGGGAGTTTGCCTCAGAACTGGGTTGCGAGCTTTCTGGCGCTGACGAGCTGGGCTTGGAGCTCAGAGGAGCCGATGAACTTGGCTTAACACTAGGTTGAGAGCTTCTAGGCTGCGAGCTTTCTGGCGCCGACGAGCTGGGCTTAGAGCTCAGAGGAGCCGATGAACTTGGCTTAACACTAGGTTGAGAGCTTCTAGGCTGCGAGCTTTCTGGCGCCGACGAGCTGGGCTTAGAGCTCAGAGGAGCCGATGAACTTGGCTTAACACTAGGTTGAGAGCTTCTAGGCTGCGAGCTTTCTGGCGCTGATGAGCTGGGCTGAGAGCTCAGAGGAGCTGATGAACTTAGCTTAGAGCTGGGTTGAGAGCTTCTGGATTGCGAGCTTAGAGGAGCCGGTGAACTTGGCTTGGAGCTGGGTTGAGAGCTTCTGGGCTGCGAGCTTAAAGGAGCCGATGAACTTGGCTTGACACTAGGCTGCGAGCTTGGAGCCGGTGAACTTGGCTTAGAGCTGGGTTGAGAGCTTCTGGGCTGCGAGCTTAGAGGAGCCGATGAACTTGGCTTGGAGCTGCTAGTTCGGGACGAACTGGGCTTCTGAGAGCTAGGCGCTGAGCTACTACTCGGTTTCGACGAGCTTGGTCTTGAAGACCTTAGCGGGGATGAGCTTGGCTTCAAGCTGCTTAGTTGCGATGAATTCGGCTTCGAGCTCGGCTTCGAACTAGGCTGGGATGAACTTGGCTTTAATGAGCTTAATTGGGACGAGCTGGGCTTAGAGCTGCTTGGTTGTGAAGAACTAGGTTTAGAGCTCAGCTTCGATGAGCCGGGTTGTGATGAGCTTGGCTGCGAAGAAGTCGGCTTCGAGCTTGGCTGAGATGAACTCGGCTTCGAGCTTGGCTGAGATGAACTCGGCTTCGAGCTTGGCTGAGATGAACTCGGCTTCGAGCTTGGCTGAGATGAACTCGGCTTCGAGCTTGGCTGAGATGAACTCGGCTTCGAGCTTGGCTGAGATGAACTCGGCTTCGAGCTTGGCTGAGATGAACTCGGCTTCGAGCTTGGCTGAGATGAACTCGGCTTCGAGCTTGGCTGAGATGAACTCGGCTTCGAGCTTGGCTGAGATGAACTCGGCTTCGAGCTTGGCTGCGAAGAACGAAGAACTAGGTCTAGAGCTCGGTCTTGATGAGCTTGGCTGAGATGAACTCGGCTTCAAGCTGCTTGGCTGCGAAGAACTAGGTCTAGAGCTCGGTCTTGATGAGCTTGGCTGAGATGAACTCGGCTTCAAGCTGCTTGGCTGCGAAGAACTAGGTCTAGAGCTCGGTCTTGATGAGCTTGGCTGAGATGAACTCGGCTTCAAGCTGCTTGGCTGCGAAGAACTAGGTCTAGAGCTCGGTCTTGATGAGCTTGGCTGAGATGAACTCGGCTTCAAGCTGCTTAGCTGCGAAGAGCTTGGTTTTAATGAGCTGGACTTTGACGACCTTGGCTGCGATGAAATAGGCCTAGAGCTCGGTCTCAATGAGCTCAGCTTTGATGAGATGGGCTTGGAGCTGCTTGGCTGCGATGAGCTTGGCTGCGACGAACTTGGTTTCGAGCTTGGTCTTGATAAGCTTGGCTGCGATCTGGGCTTAGAGCTGCTTGGTTGCGAAGAACTAGGTCTGGAGCTTGGTCTCGATGAGCTTGGTCTCGATGAGCTTGGTCTCGATGAGCTTGGTCTCGATGAGCCCGGCTGCGAAGAATTCAGCCTTGAAGAGCTAGGCTTTGAGGTTGGTCTTGACGAGCTAGGCTTTGCAGAACTAGGTATCGAGCTTTTAGGCTGTGAAGAGCTGGGCTTAGAGCTGCTTGGCTTCAACGAGCTCGGCTGTGTTGAACTAGGTCTAGAGCTCTGCCTCGATGAGCTGGGTTGCGAAGAGCGAGGTTTGGAGCTACTCAGGCGTGCAGAACTTGGTCTTGAAGAGCTGGGCTTAGAGCTGCTTGGCTTCAACGAGCTCGGCTGTGATGAACCAGGTCTAGAGCTCTGCCTCGATGAGCTGGGTTGCGAAGAGCGAGGTTTGGAGCTACTCAGGCGTGCAGAACTTGGTCTTGAAGAGCTTGGCTTAGAGCTGCTTATTTGCGAGGAACTTGGCCGTGACGAATGGCTTAGAGCTGCTTATTTGCGAGGAACTTGGCCGTGACGAAATAGGTCGTGACGAACTAGGCTTCGCAGAGCTAGGTTTTGAGCTGCTTGGCTGTGACGAGCTCGGTCTTGAAGAGCTTAGCCGTGACGAACTAAGTTGTGATGAACTAGGCTTTGCAGAACTAGACTTGGAGCTGTTGGGCCGTGACGAGCTGGGTTTCGAGGAGCTTGGTTGTGACGACCTTGGTCTCGATGAGCTGGGTTGTGACGAGCTCGGCTTGGAGCTAGGTTTTGACGAGCTCGGCTTGGAGCTAGGTTTTGAGCTGCTTTTCTGTGTTGAGCTGCGTTTTAAAGAGCTTTGCCGTGACGAACTAGGCCTCACAGAGCTAGGTTTAGAGCTGCTTGGCCGTGTTGAGCTGGGCTTCGCAGAGCTAGGTTTAGAGCTGCTTGGTTGTGATGAAGTTGGCCGTGATGAAGCTGGCCGTGATGAAGCTGGCCGTGATGAAGCTGGCCGTGATGAAGCTGGCCGTGATGAAGCTGGCCGTGATGAAGCTGGCCGTGATGAAGCTGGCCGTGATGAAGCTGGCCGTGATGAAGCTGGCCGTGATGAAGCTGGCCGTGATGAAGCTGGCCGTGATGAAGCTGGCCGTGATGAAGCTGGCCGCGATGAAGCTGGCCGCGATGAAGCTGGCCGCGATGAAGCTGGCCGCGATGAAGCTGGCCGTGATGAAGTTGGCCGCAAGGAAGTTGTCCTCGAAGAGCTAGTTCTAGAGCTTCTTGGTTGCGATGAGCTGGGCTTTGACCTGCTGGTAGGTTTTGACGATGTCGTCTGCGACGACTTGGGTGGGCTCAAACTAGAAGGCTTAGAAGAGCTATGATGTGATGGACGTGACTTTGTCGTCGTCGTTGAACTTTTGCTGTGCTTTTCGGAGCTTATGTGAGACGAGCTGGGCCGCAGGTGGCTATGATGAGAAGACTCGTGCTCTGACTTGCTACTTGTCTTCGGTGTTGAATGCGGGGGAGGTGGCCCATGACTATGAGAGCTCCGTGAAGATGAAGGTTTTCGCTTCGAACTACTACGAGACTCACGCTCGTGGGTGCTTGTCGTCGTCGTCGTCGTCGTCGTCGTCGTCGTCGTCGTCGTCGTCGTTTTTGGACTGTGGTGCGTATGGTGCTTTTTGGTCGTTGTGCGACTGTGAGTCGTGCGATGATGTCTCGTTCCAATCGTAATCGTCTTACATTCAATTTGGAAAATGGTGATTGTGCCCTTGCAAGCACGACACTTGGGCTTGTGAGTCTCGACTGCAGGAGCAGGTCTGGTTTCAAAAACGGTGATGGTGACGTATGGAATGCGGTTTGGCTCATGGCAGTATACGGTGGCCATGCAGCCCTCACATTCGGGTTGATGCGTTGACCAGCGGGTTTTGTGTGCCCACCACGGCCAGAGATGTGCGAGATACGGCAGAGTAATGGTCCTCACGGATGGCAAGACCTTTATCTTGTGTCGATGACGCCAGCCGCCCTTTCGATTTTTGCCCTTATGATGATGATTATTCGTGCGTCTCTCTTTGCCCCCGTCATCATCACCATTACCACCACCACCACCATCACCATCGTCGTCGTTGTCGTCGTTGTCGTCGTCGTCATCATCACGGTCCCATTGACCATTGCGCTCCCACTCATCATCCTGTCCTCTCTTGTCGTGTTGTACACCGTAGTCCGGCGGCGGATTATCATCATCCACGTCGTCCTGGCTGGGTTCCTCTGATTCAGATGGCTGAGACCAGCCCGGTGGCCCGACTGTCAAAGCGGAGGACTGATCTGCGCAGTTTTCTCGGCACGTTCCAAGGTCATTGTGCGGTGTCACGCTGGCGGGCTTATCGGCCCCGTCAAATCCATTGGAGAGAGATGTTGTCGGGAAAACCGCCAGTAATGCAATTGCCCATTTGGCAATGCCGCTAGAACCGCGCGCCATGGCTGGTCTCTCTGCACAAGCGACAGGAATAGGTAGGCTAGAGAAAAGGAATCCAGTACGACTCAACGTAGATGACAAACAGACAGACTCATGTTGATAAGTCGTCTAGCCGTCACGTCCAAGCCCACATGCATTGATTTCCACCGGAAGCACAGCAATATATACCACGAGGCGGCAAATGCCTCCTCGAAACGCGCGAGTCTCGCAGAGGAAAACGACATCCGGCGAGACACCTGGCTTTTCTAGACCGTTGCCCACCTCGATCTAGACCCGCCTGAAGTGAAGCCATTAAAACCATGGACTTCACCAATGAACCTGGATTATGAACTAGATGATTTCCAACTCTGCCTCCTACCCGTGCCGTCGGGTTGGACAAGGCTAGCGGCTGGCTAATGTGATGCATGTTGAGTCTGTTGCCATGGAGCATGCTATATCATCTACTCGATATCGCGCTGTCTTGAAAGAATGTGGCTCTCATACTCGGACTTTAGTTCAGAAGGCTACGCCTCCCACCGGGCCAGACCTCATGGACCGCGAGAAGGCTTGTTTGTCCCGGACAAGGCAGTTGACGCGCCGCTCCCGATAAAATGGAGAGTACTGTAGTTGATGGCTGGCATATTGTCGACGCTAAATGCGTGATTGTAGGATCTCAAACTGGGGGGCGGATTAGATGTTGGTATTCATGCGTCGGTAACCCAGCGCAAAAGAAGAGGAGATCCATCGTTCCGAAGATGGCCTGCTGCCATAATTCTACGGTCATATCGAAGTCTCAGATGTGGATTGATGCTTGTCGGAAGAGGCGGCGGTTGAGGTTGGTTTGTGGAAAATGACGACTTTGTGAAGTCGCTGGACGTTTGTTTTGTGAAGTGGGTTCTGATCTGTGACAGATGACGCTATGCCTAATCAGGCTGCTGGATTCCTTAAGTAAGCTTAGGCCCATCTTCAAATAATATTGGCAATGGGTGGCTTGTAGGCGTGCGAGATGAGCATTTACGGCCATGCATCTTCTCGACACGATAGTGAATGGCAGCCACCACGGATCAGAGAATTGCGGCAGCAGAGCCAAGTCGTGGTGTTTTATTGTACAAGGTCAGCCACACGGTAACTACACCCCAGCCTTTGGGAACAAACGTAAAAACAACGATACGACATGCCCCATTGTGGGGCCGTGTCTGTCGTCCGTGCTTGGCTCTCCGCATCGACTCCGTACCCGGCTTTGTCATCTGGGTGTGGCGCGGGCCGCCGTGGACTAGACCTGGTCTTCGGGGCGCCGTGGTCAACGCATCACTACACCACTATCACCGCCCAACTCGTATTTACCTACTTAGTAGGTACTTAGGTAGTAGGTAGCTCATCGTTTCCCCTGTCTAATTTGTAGTCGCCGACCGTGTGCCTGGGCGGGAGCCGCATCTCCCAATTGTCGTCATTGCCCGGCAATCGTCTCCGCAACGTTTGAGGCGGACCACTGCCGGACGACAATGGTTCGGCATGGCTGAAGCCCTTGGCCCGGACGCGCCTGTCGTCGAGGACTCTTCCTCCCCATTCTCGAAAGTATTGGCAATCACCACGAGCGGCCGCCAACGCGCCTTCCGTGGCTGGTCTGTACGGCGTCACGTGAGCGCGCTACTTGAGTAAGCGCCCGCGCCCGTCCTCGGAAACTTGAATCCCTGGCTCACGAGGCTGACGAGGTTATCGATCCGACCGCATTCCCTCTCCCACGGTTTCGCAAATGTCTCGGGTTGCCCGTCCAGATCTCCAGCCAAGTGCTAGTTCAGCCGCTACCGACGCCTCGCTGTTGCCGTCCCAGGCCTCAGCGCTTCTGGGCTGCTTCACCAACTTCCTCACCGTTGCACTGCACTCCATCCTCTACCATCGGAAGCTTTACCCAGAGGCCACCTTTCTCACAGCTCGTGCCTACAACCTGCCCGTCCACCAGTCTCGACACCCTGGGGTCTGCGCCTGGATCCGGGACGCCGTCGCTGCTGTCGGAGCACAAGTCCGGGTTGGTTCTGCGCGCCAGGTTTCCCTCGTCATCCACGCTCCCGCCAGCTTCGACGTCGTTGAACGGTGGATATTTGACCTGCAGTCGTTTCCTGCCACCTGGGGCGACAAGGACACGTCCTCCGGTCCGCCCCTCGATCCCGCAACGGCTGATGAAGCCGTCAACTGGACCGATGTGAACGAAGCGTTGCGAGGAGCGTTGAGCAGGATCGCCCACGTCGGCCAGAGCAGGCCACGTCTCCCCGACGGCTGCACGTTCACCATAGGAATCGAACTGCGTGACCAGGCCCTGCCGCCAATCCAGGTAAGCATCTTTGCTGTCCGTCCCACCAGCTTGCTTCCTGGAACCCTTTCTACCTTCTGCCACGCGATACGCCCCTGGTCGTCCGTCGGAATCCACTGACAATGGTTCTGAACCACCAGCACCCACAACTTTGGATTCCCGCCCAGCCTCATCTCCAAACGGCTTCTGAGAGCAGGCCAGAACTTGGCCGCGCCCTTGGAGGGACAGCCACGGCGCCGATTCGCTCCGTCCGGGCAGGGCCCCTGTTCTTTGAGTGTTGGGTCGAGCAAGGAAAGCTAGCTTCCAGCACAGCTTCTCCTGAGGCGCCCTCGTTCTCGCCTGCGTCCGACAACAGGAGGGGGACAGGCCCGCCAGACACTACAGCATCTTCAAGTTCGTAATCTTTTTTTTTTTTCGTTTGTCATAATATTTCATGATACGTCAAGAATCATACATGAACCAAGAGAGAGCCTCTTGATGGAGACTGCCTTCTTTACGCCCGTAGCCTTTTCTCCGTGGAACTGTCAACCTTGCTTGCCCTCCCGCCTTGCGCCGTCCGGTTGATAGTCATCATAGTATACAACCTTGTTGTCATTTACATCACACTCCAATCATTATGCCAGTTTTGGGCATCAATTCTGCGTCGATAGTCTCCTTGCTTCGCGCCATTTCGCGCCTGATAAGCCAAGAACACGTCTGAGGCGCAAAAACACTTAATCTGCTCCTCTCAACATGGCTTTCAGGCTTACCATTTCCCTCTTGAGACGAGCATTCTCCTTCTTCAACTTCGCCGTCTCATCCCCTTGCTCCTTTAGCTTGACCACGAGCTCCTCCTTGTCATCCCTGCCCTTGCCTCTCATGGCTTTGATAATTTTGCCCAATTCGCCATTAAACTTTTCGTAGAGCAACTCATTTTCCGCCACAACCTCTTTATGAAGCTGGTCGATGGCGCGTACCTTGGCCTCTGTGATTTTCATGGTGGTGTCTAGTTCCTTCTGCGTCGTAGCCTGCTGCTCATGTAACTCTCTCATCATGACCTCGATGCGATCCTCTAGCTCTTTCAGCGAGGTGGCGATCCCGGACACATCCGTCCGAGAGCTGGCTGACCGAGAATCGTACACACGAGCCATCTCGTCGCCAATCTTGGACAGTTCGCTTTTCAGTGAAGAATCGACCTCCTGGGCGACTTGCTTCTCGGATTGAAGCCGCTCTCTGAGCTTTTGCGGCGAGTGGAGTCGGAGGCGTTGAGCATTAGATCGCGTCGGACTCCCAGGGCTAGTTATTGCATCAGATGCTGACTTAGTAGACCGGAGTGTAGGGATGCTAGATATCGACAGGGCTTTGGGATGTCGATAGATCTTGGATAGGGAATCTGGTAATTTGGAAGAAATAACCCCGGAGTGTTCGGATGCGTGGCTGTCAACCTTTTCAGACGAGTCGGCGAGGTTTTCTTTCTCCTTTTGCCTGGAGGCGCCTATCGTACCAGCCGCGCTGGGACTGATCGGAATCTTGGAAGGAGATGTCGATTGGGGGGTGGCGGGTTTGGTGTTGATCTTGCCAGATGTCTGCTTCGTGGTTTGCAATGGCTGCGGTGGCTCGTCGTCTAGTTTTGCAGCGGCCATGAGACTTTTAAGATCTGATAGCGAACTTCGTCTCTTCTTTTTTGGGCTTTTCGTGCTTGAGACTACTCTTTCGGTGGAAGAGGGCTCGCCAATGGTGTCAAGGGGAAAGTCGAGGCGGTGCGAGCTGGTCGGACGTTGTGGCGTCTCATCGAATGCACCTGCAATGGACGGCCTCTCTCTGGACGTGGCACGCCGATGCAGTCGCTTCGGTAGACTGTTGTTATCTACCGAGGGTGCTCTGTACAGTGTGCCGTGTATGCTGCGTGATAAGCTCGACGTGTCGCCCGTGGTGGGATTCCTGTGCTTGCTCAAGCTCCGCCATACCGATGGTCGCTCATCCTGTGAACTCGGTCGAAGAAGGGCGTTGAGCCCGAATTTGCGACGAAGCGACGACGCATTTGATGTGACGGAGCCCGTGTGAGTCTTGCCTTGTCGGTAGCCAGATTCGATAGATTCGGAAGTAAAGGAGCCGGGATGGAAGCTCTGAGGTGCACTTTGGTCTTCGAATATCCTGTCGCAGTCTTCCACCAGTCGATCTAGTAGATTGATGTAATTATGAGCATCGCCATCAGTGACGAGAAGTTCAGCAAATGCCACCGTCAATGCACCTCTGTCACTGTCATTCCCACAGCCATCTAACAGGTCTGCTAACAGCTTGATCACGGTGATGAAAGCTCGTCGATTTTGTGGTGCCATATCTCGAAAAAGATAGTTCACAAAGTCGGCAAAATTCCCAGGGACTCTCTTATTTGCTCTGTCAAGTAAAGAGTCCATTGCTTGCATCGTCATGACGGGGCCTATCTGATCTGCCCAAGCAATATGCAGAAATTTCTCGAATGCGGCGAATATGACTTCGGTATTGATATCGCAGGAGACTGCATAGTCAAAGGGAGTTTCGATGAACCTGTTGTATATCTTATTTACAGACAGCTCATCCACAAGTGATCGATTGAGTAATGTACGGCCAATTATGGTGCCCTTTCGAGACTGAAGGGCCGCCGTAAAACCAGTAAATGTTTGCTCAAGTCTCAGCAAGGGGTTCTCTGGTCGTCCGTCAGCGGTGTTGGGGCGGCTATCCTTGCCCTTTATCGAACCAAACATGGAGTGAATGCTATTCGCTCGATGGAGTAATGCCTGCTGCTGAGGTTTCGTGCTAGATACAACAACATCTGGTAAACTGCTTGTGCCGCTGTTCCAGAGGCTGGAAAGAAGCTTTACGGGTGATGCTGCAAGGAAGGATCGACCTTTCTCAACCTTGGTCGAGATATTCAATCTCCGCAACGTCTTGGTATAGTAGGACACCATAGAAGCAGTCAGGTTGGCATTGCTGACATTGAATTGGATGCTCAGTAGCTGAATGACTATGGCAGAAGGGTCAGTCGATTTCCAATTACCACCAAACGAGAAGTACTTACTGCGACGTGACATGGTAGGGAGCAAATCCTCCAGGTCAACGTCATCATGGAATTGCTTCCCATTGAGACCGGCAGTGAGCATCGACACCCGCTTGAGATTATTGCTGGACAAGTTTATCACTATTTCCACTCCGTAGTGGCCGAGTGGCGCTCCTTTTGTGCCTTTCTCGTGATCTACCACGATGCGAATGGCAGCTGGTTCTCTTCGACCCTCGACCAATTCATGGGCGCCTTCTTGAAAGACAGCCACATGCAGGCCCAGGTTACTGTCCTGCATACGCACTGACCTGAGCGTCCAACAAGGGTTTTCTCGTTCAGTCTCTGAGAACCGTGCTTCGACTCGCGCTTTGACTACATCTTCCCCCCATTTGGTGGCCTTGCCTTCCAGAGCCTCCTGAAGTAAAAAGCACCGAGATGTGGGGGCCTTGCTTATCTTGTACTCTCCGGCATGGGAGTACTTCATATCTCGTGTCGAAGTCATCCACACTAACGCGCCGTCTTCAGACTCCGTAAACCGCACGTCTGCAAGGCTATGCCAGCCCGTAAGCGCGAATTCATACGACGCTGGTCCACCAACAGCATTGGTCATGGAAATAAGCAACTCCGCAACGGACGGCTTGTCGATCTCCCGGAGCAAATCACGTCCAGTCATTGTGAGCCCGATCTTTCTTAATATAATTAAACAGTCTGCGAATAGAAGAAAAACGCCACCGCTGTCCAACTCGTCAGTTCCGCCTTGAAATGGAGGTGCAAGTTCAATGAAATCGGCCGCAGCGATGAGTCGACCCTGAGGCTCCAAGTCCCTTGGCCACGATTCAACCATATTTCGCAGTCTGTTAGCAACGTGAGGCCTGTCTGGTAACGGGTCGTCCATGGAGCAAATATTAGTAATAATATCCCTGGCCTTTAGCATGGGCTGAAGCGCAGGGTGGGTTATTGGTAACGAGCCAACTATTTGATCAATGAGGAGGCTATATCGAGGCAGTCGTTGAACAGGTTCAATGAGAATAGACCTGACAGTCTGCTCGCCAGTTTGGTTGACTCTTTGTCTAAAGCTGGACTGTTTGTCAAGAAAAGAGTTGAGCAAAGTGGGAAAGTGCTGGCTGGCCTTGATGTAATCTTGGTAGCTCTGGGTGAACTTTGGAAACCATTCAAGGAACAGTTTAGCCATGCTCAAGGCACCACTGGGATCCTTTACTCGAGCTGAACCCGAGCTCTTCATGCTGCCCAAAGTCGATGCGGTTTGTTCCATGTACCGGAGAGCCTCATCTTCGGTTTCGTCCATAATCGTGCGGAGCTGGTCCACAAACGCGGAATTCAGCTGCAGGATCTGATCTGCCGATGGAGGAAAGAGTTTTTCCAATTCTGCTTCTGAAGGACTGAGACTGCCCTCTGGTCTTGCCTTGGCACTTTCCCGAAAATCTTTAGCAATGGTGTTGACCAATTCGCCAAGCTTCATGACATATCTTTCTTCCGTGTCAACCAGCTCAGCCAGCTTCATGCGCAGCTCATATCTCTGGTCCTTGTTGAAGGATCTTCCTCGATTTAAGGATGTAGGTTTTGATGGGGCGCGTCGTAGCCTGTGTGTCGGCAAAAAGACTGGCTCGCCGAACAACCTGATTAGAGGTGTATATCCGCCATATTGTCTCAGAGACGGGTCTAATATGTCGTCTTCATTGTCCGGTACTTCTTCCCAGTCGGCCGGTGGCAGAGGCACAATGGCGCCTGGCGGGAGAACAAGGTCAACATCGACGTTGTTAATGTGTTGCGGCTGCAGCGCATCTTGCAACGAGGCAATCACTTCTGCAGCGTTGTCGCCTTTGACCATGGATGCGATCAGGCCGGCAGCATGTTGTTCGCCAAAGAGACGCGGGGCGCTACCAGGGCGCTTCCCTCTGGTCGGATATAAATTCCTGAGGTAGGTTTTGACTCCGTCGGGGAGTTCTGAGAAATATTTGAAGAGGCCGAAGGCCAACCCGCGGAATACCTCATCGACCTGGATCTCTCGGGGTAGATGATCGACGACTCCGTAGAATGGCGAGCTCGGGGAGATGGTGATTCGAGGAAACGACTGAAAGCCTGCAGAAGACAGAATGTGTATTTGGACGCGAGAGCTATTTAAAGTGTAGTTGGCCGTCGTCGAGGGCCCGTGGAATATGAGGACGGGGAGTTGACCGAGCAGCGGATCGGAAGCATGATACAGTGAAAGGGTGTCTGGCGAGAACGCCAAGTCGTCCGTCACACGAACCATGGTCTCGTCAATGGGCCGCACTCATGACCCTCGCCTTGGCTTGCCGTCGGATGGTGTCTTGCCGCTGCGGACAAAATATGTCTGACGGTCGAAGGCACCGGTACAAGAGAAGAGATGGTCGGCGGGGTGTTGAGCCAAGCCCGTCTCAAGAGAACGCAAATGCGCAACAGCGGGACCAGCGGTCCGTAAACATGGGGAGACGGCGCGTGGAACCCGACACGAGCTTGAGAATACACTTTGTGAGGACGGAGTATGGATGCAGGCTTGACGCAGGTCGTCTCGTGTGGCCGGGCCAGGTCAGTTGTGCAAGGATCCGCCAAAGCCTTCGGTGCTGGGATGGCGAGTTCAATAAAGCCAGAGCCTAAAAGGGAAACATCAAATAACAATAACCGTGAATATGGCTTTCACAGGAAAGTCGGCACAGACGAAGCGGTCCAAGCTGCGATGGCAATGGGCAAGCAGCGAAGCACCAGCGGAACGTGCTTCTTCACCCAGTGCTAATTCCTGCATCATATTCATGCAGATTGATTGTGATGATGACCCAAGCGGCCAACATTCGGGAAGGAGCGATCATGGGACCAATTGATTGGTCCTTCCGTACTCGCGCAGACGCGGTTGACGCGACCAAGTGTAAACAATGCCTGGCGGAGTCAATTGCTTGGGGCGCTCACTACCCCACCACGCCCTGTTTTCGGTCTAGCGGCCCTGCTGCCATGCGCTATGTCAGCGGCAGATACTGCCTACTATAAAAAACACATACAAAAACAAAGAAAACAACTACAGCACACAAATTGCCTACAAGGAACGTTTATATATATTTTATATGCAAGAATTTAATATACTTTATGCCTATATTTCTTTATATATATAATTAAAGTTAAGAGAGAAATACTAGCTAGAATTTAATAAAAAGACTAATAAGCTATAAAGGCTAAACTACTTTATAGAAGAAAATAGCTATAAGAGTTATTTTAAGCTACTAGCTATACTTAATTTAGCAGCTCTAGCAGCTCTACTATAGAATTTACTTATAAATAACTCTTCTTCCCTCTAACTAGATAGAGAGGAAATTAAGCCTTTACAACTATACTTTTTAATATATACTATTATATATAATTTTATACTATACTATAAGTTACTTCTATTATACCTTAAGAATCCCTATTATTTTATGCTTAGTAATTAACTAAATTACATAAGCTCTCTCTATTAAATTATAAAGAGTCTCTTAATTAGCTAATAGTTATGAGCCTAGGTGCTGCAGGCTCTGCGCTGCTACAGTTGCATGTTCGAACCCTCTTACAATACAACTACTATAATTCTAGGTCTTACTATAATAACTACTATATATTAAATACTCTAGATAGCTATAAAGCTATATAACTAGTATATTGTCTTTTTATATTAAACTTAGAAAACTCTTTAATAGAAAGAAAAACTCTGCCTACTTTTTTATATTACTTCTTAGGCTAGCTCTAGCTTTATACTAGCTAGAGTTTACTTATCTTTTATATATATATAGTTATTGCTAGCTTTACTAGCTATATTCTAGAGAGGCAAGTAGCTCTTATAAATCTAACTTGCCTCTAGCTTTATACTAGAGCTATTCTGCCTCTGCCTAATTATTTATTATATTTATTAGTTTTTAATTATTTCTTCTCTCTAGAGATATAGTTTATCTTAGTATAGTATATTATTTATTACTTTCTTAGAGGTAAGCTAGGCTAGCTTTATACTATTATATAACTACTAGTATAAATATTTAGTATTTAGCTATAATAGCTTATATATTTAGATTTACTTTACTTTTATTTTATATATAAATTACTTCTTAGCTTTATAGCTAGCTATAGCTAGTATAGCTACTATATTAAACTTAAGCTTTTATTACTTATAAAGCTAGCTAAACTCTTTTTAACTTTCTTCTCTTTTTTCTTTCTTTTTTAAGCTTTTTACTTTTAATATATATTAAATTTTACTAATATACTAGCTTTATTTACTACTTAGCTAAGCTTAAGCTAGTCTTTATATAAATTCTAGCTAACTTCTTACTAAAACTATTTTTATTACTTTTACTACTATTACTATTATCTTTAAACTTAGTTAAAACTTATTATTTATATATATATACTTTATATAATATCTACTTTATATTAAGCTTAACTTTAGGAAATTACTAATCATTATTAGTAGCTATTATTATATCTACTTTCTAGTTTAATAATATAAAGAAAGTTATAGTAAGTTTAAGCTAGTACTAGCTTATTCTCTACTTAATAGCTAACTACTATAAAGACTTTTAGTGCTTTTAAAAGTAAAACTATAATTAAGTCTTAGTCTTAAAAAGTTACTAGTAAGTTTATATATAGCTTTTTCTCTACTTTCATTTTAGCTTTAACTTTATATATAGCTTTATTCTACTTATAAAGTTATATATATTTTATATATTACTTAAATCTCTACTACTACTACTACTATTAGCTTAAAGCTAGATAAGCTTTAAGTTTATTTATACTAAAAGATTATTAAGTTAAAAACTATATTATACTTTAACTATTATATTTATAATAATTATTATATTTTTATAAGTTATTTTACTTTTATAATATACTTTTACTAGCTTTAATTTAGCTTTAGTATAATATAATATTCAAGACTTATTTTATTTTTCTATACTTTTAGAAAAGGCTAGAAGTAGTTTTTAAGATAATACTATTTTATATTATAATAAGTAGTTTACTCTATCTCTAGCTTAATATTACTAACTAGTTATTTTAATTTACTTCTTAGTTTTTTAAGAATTTTAAGGCCTTAAAGAAAGCTAATAATTAAAAGAGAAAGAGCTAAGCTTAATTTAGCTTAATACTAGCTAAAGAGTTAAATAATAGTATAAACTACTATAAAAAGATCTTAAGTTAGTTAGAGAAAATTATAATATTAATTACTACTATAGCTATATTTATAGTAAAGTTAGTTTAAATTCTAAATAAGTATACTAGCTATATAGCTAAGATAAAGGCTTTACTTATAAGTATAAATAAGTATATTATTATAGTAGAACTTTAGAAGAAACTTAAGAGGAAGTTTATAAGTAAATCTAGAGTAGCTATAAGCAGGCATAGTAGTAACTCTAGCTTATAGAAGTAGGCTTAAGTAAGTTATAAGTTTAATTAGTAGTAGAATTAAAAGAGAGAAGAATAAAGTAAATATAGCTCCAGCTTAAGCTATATTTAGTAATAGTAGTAGTTACTTATACTATAAGCTTAATATATTTTGCTTTAATAAATTTAGTAATTATTTAACTTTACTATTACTATAACAGCAAGCTAGTATCTAGCTAGTATTATTATAATTCTACTCTTAGTATTTAGTTAAGTAGTTTTACTTTTTACTTTTTAGCTAATTTTACTACTAGTTAGTAATAAGTTATTTAGCTTATATTAATAAACTACTAAGTTAGCTTTATAGCTAGCTTAAAGTAAGCTAAAGCCTACTTAACTTTTTTATTATTTTACAGCTAATTTAGTAGTTTTATATTTATATAAAGTAAGTATAATAAAATAATATAGTATATATCTTTCTTCTTAGTTCTGTACTAATATAAAGGCAACTTTATACTTAATACTTATTTATAGTAGAGAAACTTATTTAGCTTTATTTTACTTATTTTTAGCTAAATTAATATAATAGTTTTATACTTATATAAGCCTTTATATAGCTAAGTTATTTATTTTAGTATACTTAATAGAAGTATATTTTTTATTACTTTTTAGTAGTACTATTAGTAAGCTAGTTTTATATTTTAGTACTAGTTATTTTATTGCTATTACTATTCTTACTATATTATAGCTTTAGTAGCTTTAGCTAAACTTTAAGCTTATATCTATAGTTAGTTCTTTTTATTTAGCTTTTACTAAAGCTTCTTCTTTTTCTTTAAAACTCTTACTACTATACTATAAGTAGCTTAAATTTAGCTTACTATATTTATCTTCTTTAATTAATTCTTAAACTTATACTTTAAGTAGTTGAAATAAAAGTTTAATAAAAAAACTATTATTTTTATCTTTAAGTATAAAATTAGTATAGCTTTATATACTTTAGTAATAGCTTAAAAGTATTATAATTACTTTACTATAAGTTATTTAGTAATTTCTTTAAGCTTACTTTAAACTTAAGTAAGTATATAAAATATACTTACTTTATAAGTAATAATACTTTAAACTACTACTATATAAAGAGCTTTTTTACTAAAGTATATACTACTTTAAGTTAAAACTAAAAGTATAGTAAAAGTAAGCTACTATATAGTTAATCTCTTCTTTATTTAAGCTTTATAATAGTTTTACTTTAGCTTTTTATTAATTTAAATACTTAGAAACTTATAGCTCTTTTTTAATATAGTTTTATTAATACTTAGCTATATTTAAGTTTAATATAGCTTTTTAGTATAGTAAAAGTATAGTAGCTTGCTTTTTGCTAAGTTAAATTTAACTTTTATCTCTCTTACTTAAGCTATATATATATTTTAAGTACTTTTAAGCTATCTTTAAGTTTACTTTATATTTCTTTTAAATACTAAAATATTTATATTATTTATAAAGCTTATTACTATAGTTATATTAACTACTTAAAGCTAAGTATATAGTAGTATAGTATATAAAAGAAAGAGAATAAATAATAAAAGTAAGCTTTATAGTACTTCTACTAAAGTTTAGTATACTTTTAATATTTATTTATTAAAGTAAAGCTAGTTAGTTCTTAAGTTAATAATAGCTTAAATATAAGCTATAAGTTATTTTAGTATTTCTACCTTCAGTAATATAATAAGCAGCTTTAAGTAGCTAACTATATTAAATATACTACTAATATTTAGTTATAATAGTAAGGTAATAACGTCCCGCTCTATAAGATCGCTAGCTCTCTATTTTCAATGGGGGTTTACACTATAAATACTACTTTTTTAAAAATTAATAATAAAAGACAATAAATACTAAAAAATA